CCGTAGAGGCGCTCAGCTGCACCATGTTCCTCCACTCAGTCAACCTCTGTAACCTGGCGTTCTATGTCTTTATGGTGCTTCTGGCGACCCTGGGGCTGTGGGATGTCTTCTTCGGCTTCCATCAGATCAAGTGCAGCATGAGCTACATGTTTGAGTACCCCGAGTACCAGGTACGGCCCTCCCTCACCTGAGCGCTCGCGCCTCGCGGGCTGCTCTCGGGTTCAGCCGCGATCCCGACTCGGAGCCCTCCCGGCACTTGGAGCCAGTCTTCTGCCTCGGACTGGGTCGGGCATCCAGTCCTCTCCTCTGGGTCCCCTCGCCCTCCATTCCTGGGCTCACAGACCCCAGACCCCGACTTCTGACCCGCTGGGCACTGCCTTTTTTCATCCCCGGAGAGCCAGCTCCGGTCCCTGTCCCCAAACCCAGTCCTCTTCCGACCCTCCTTTGCTTGCAAGGAGATGTATTCTCTTCGCGCCCAGTGATGGACATGTCAGATTTCGCTTTTCTGGAAAGAGACCCAGCGTCTGCAGAGTTGCCAAGGTTGATTTTAACAGGGGCTCTAGGGTTTTACTTCTGGGTGAAGTGAAAGGCTGACCTGATGAATAATTAAACTGAAAACTATTTAGTTTCCTTCTGTGGAGATTTTTTTGCGGATCCACCTGTTCTGTAGGTTGAGTCCGTGGGTGTGTGTACCTGTGTTTTCTCATGCCTCTGAACAGCCAGTGATCTGCACAATCTATTAAGAAAGATATCTATTATAATCAGTTGCATGCACAATCTATTTCGCGGTATTATTTTGTTTTCTCACCGGGTTTAACACGATCTGCCTCCCCTCTCGCCGCCCCCACCCCCTCCGTTTCAATTTGAATGCTTTCAGTTAATTGCTTCATTTGTTCTGCGTAGTAGAATCTAAAATTTCATTCATGACCAGCTGTAGAAAGAGATGATGACAAATTACACAGCTGTCCGGAGAAATTTCCCTCCGGTGATATTTTCCTTAAGATTTCTAAATGAATCTCTTGATTTTGGAATATCTGTTATAATAACTCCTATAAAATATACATAATGGATTTTGATAACGTGAATTCTTAGTATGCTTTTAAGATCATAGCAGATTTTTCTGTAGGATGAAGAATGAAAATCAGGATTGCGTCTGTGTACAGATCCTTGTAAAGGGGGGTCTATTTGATGCTGTTCTTATTTATGTTTAGAGAATGAGGTTTAAATTGCTGAAGATCATCCTCCCTTGTATATTTTCTAGTAAGAGAGTTCTTACCATGATTTTGCATGCATGGTTATGAAGGAATGGGAACATTGGATTTCAGATGCTATTGGGAATTTTAACAAGTTAGTGTTAATTCCTAAGCTAATAAACTGATGTGATGTTGGTTTGTGTGCATTAGAATCTTAATAGTTAAATATGTGAACCTTAGTTTTTTTTTTAAACTGGAAATGGAGTTCATCATAATTTCCTTTCATTAACTACCATTTAATAATTTGAAAGCTCTCAATAGATTGAAGTAGGTCATTTTAGTTTTGAACTGTATTAAATGAATGCTTTGGTTAAAATAAAATCATTTTGGAACAATAGTTACCATTTATATTTAGATTTCCCATAATTATTTAATCTATTTTAATATTTGCAGTAGCAAAAATTGGCTTCCTGCATGTTGGGAACAAAGCATATGGACCTCACAGATGCATCTCCTGCCTCATGAAATTGACTAGAAAGAGAAAATTACTGTCACTAACACAATAGAGCTATTGGGCTTTTTTTGTTACATAGTGGGTATTTAGTTATTTTGGTTCTAATTGCCTTTTTGGAGTTTGACACTTATTAATTTGTGAGAACAGTATAATGACAGTGGTAGCAGTTTTGGCACACATTTTTAGCAGACTTTATTATTAGTCCTTTTGCTTTGAATGAGTTGTGTTATTTTACAAACAGAATTAAGCCCTACCTATAGAAATGAGCCTTGTTGAATAAATAGATTTTAAGATAATTGAGCTCATTGAGTTGAGAGCCAAATGGTTTTCACTTGACTAAAACTGTTCTAAAGATAGTTTATATATTGCCCTTTAAAGTAGCATTTTCTGCACCTTTTCAATTGTTCTCAGGCTGATATCCAGCAGGTGGCATGTCCTACTCATTTCCTTTTCATCTTTCTTGAGGCATTTTTTAAAAAATTGCTCATTTGTGTCTTCCTTAGCTAGTCAACAGAAAATGATAACTGGCATTTCTTTTTTTTTTTTTTTTTTTAAGGGAGAGAGGAATTTGGAACTCTGCAAAATGAACTTTTGAGTTTGACTCTTTTTTTGGGGGGGGTTTCGGAGACAGTGTTTCTCTGTGTAGCTTTGGAGCCTATCCTGGCACTCGCTCTGGAGACCAGGCTGGCCTCGAACTCACAGAGATCCTCCTGCCTCTGCCTCCCGAGTGCTGGGATTAAAGGCGTGCGCCACCAATGCCCAGCGAATCTGACAGTTTTTACTATCTCTACTCATCCCCTGTCTGTAATATCCTGGATGCTCTGATTTGGAGTTAACTGTTTCTCAGTTGGATCTCAAGTCTACCACGTCATTTAAAGCTTTTTGCCTTATTATGCCAGTAGGGCCAAAGTGTTGTCTAGCTACACATAACTTTCGGCAAACCATAGAATTTGAGAAGAAACACCTGGGTTGTTTTCTCTCATATGTTGGTTGTGCTCTGTTCATGTGTGTGATCTAATGATTTCTCTCTGAAAGGAAATGGTGTTGTTGATGTTTATTTAGACAGTCATTTATTGAGTGACTAGGTATATTTGGCATGAGGGAATTAGTGATAAAAGTCCCTATTCCTTTAATGTATATATTTTAACAAGAAGAGAGACAAGAATATAAAAATCAGCTATAGTATAATGTAGCAAGATACTGTATACAAGACTCTTCAGAGAAATCAGAATATACATGTTTGTTCTGGGTCTTCTTTCTTTCTTCTTTTCTTTCTTTCTTTCTTTTTATTATGTATACAACATTCTGCTTCCATGTATATCTGCACACAAGAAGAGGGCACCAGATCTTATAATGGATGGTTGTGAGCCACCATGTGGTTGCTGGGAACTGAACTCAGGACCTCTGGAAGAGTATTGGTGCTCTTAACCGCGAACCATCTCTCCAGCCCCCTTGTTCTGGGTTTTCAAAGGCGTTTGAAAAGATGTGAATTGAAGGGCTGGAGAGATGGCTCAGCAGTTAGAGCATGTGCTGCTCTTGCAGAGAGCCTGGATTTAGCTCCCAGCACCCAGTGGTGGCTCACAACCATATTTATCTCCAGTTCCATGGTATTCAGACACCCTCTTCTGGCTCCATGGCACCATGCAGGCAAAACATAAAAAATAAAGACTAAATGAATTGGGGGCAGGGTGTGAACTTGGACATACAGGTCATTTAGTTAGTATATATAGGAAGTAAGGAGGGCATCAGGTCATATTATCTGATCAGCATTTATAATATATGACTATTGATGTAAAAGGGAGAAAATAATCTATAAACATATTTGCCTGTATATATCCAAGATATTTGGCAGCACACATAAATTGATTAATATTGGTTGTTGTCTGTGGTGAGGAACTGGATAGCTGGAGGGTCATGGGTAAGAGGCATACTTTTCAAAGCCTATCCTTTTGAAGTTGAAAAAAATCTAAATATATTTAGCACAAATTTTAAAACATGGCATGTGTAAATTGTAAGAATGAGATAGGCATTGGAATCACAATTTAAAAGCTCCCCTCTGTAAAGTCTTCATTATTTATGTGTTCATAAATGAAAACACATGATGTATGTGTTTTATCAAGACATTTTGGTAGTAACATGGACTGGATTGTAGCGGAGAGATTATGACAAGAAGAAAGGCCTGTCTGGAAGGTTACATTATGTTTAAGTGTTTGTCCCCCTGTTTTAATCAAGCAGGAGCCCCTAGAACCACTCTTAGGAGGAGCCTCAGTCAAGGGCTGAGAGCTCCTAGTAAGAACTTTAAAATGTCTGCATTTATTTTGATTTTTTCTTTTTGATTGAATCATAGATATCAAACTTCCCTAGTTTTCATTTACAAGTGAAAGACACACACACACACACACACACTATAAATTAAGACCTTTGCTCTTGCAAGTTAGGGTTCTTTACCAGTTGAGGGGTTGAAGTACCAGTGTGCTCATAATGCAAATGGTAGGGTTGGTATTTCTATATTTGGTATATTGGAGAAGATAATTGGAAGTGCTAGTTTGTTAAATAGTAAGCACATAGTAGTCCTGTAGATGCTTCTGTGATGTAGTTGGCCCAGATTATAGTAATATCCTCAAAGGAATATTCTGGAATCTGCACAAATGATTAGGATTCTTTTTAAAAATTTTCGGCATAATTAACATTTACAATTTTTAAAATTCATATGGTAAATTTTTTCATCATATATATATTCTTAACATTGTTAGATTATTAAATTATTGATATCTGTTTAAATCTCTGATTCAGTATAATGGTTTGTTTTTAATGATTTCTATTATTAAAAAGAGAAAGAAAAGAAACACCAGGTATGGTATGTACTCCTGTAATTCCCAACACTTGGGTGACAATGGTAGTAGGAAGGTGGGGAGTCAATTCCAGCCTGAGCCTGTATAGTGAGAACCTGCCTCAAGGGAGGGGTGAGAGCAGAAGAGTTTACATCTGCCTGGGGGCAGGGATGGGAGCAGAAGAATTCACACCTGCCTCAGAGTGGGTTGGGAGCAGAAGAGTTCACCCTTTGCTACATCTTTGATAGATGCCTACCCTTTGGGGAGGATATTAAGAACTGGTATATGTTATATTGAGAAGAATTCTGTATACAACTTAAGGATTTGCAAAGCAGCTTGATAACAGTCCATGTACCTGGTCCATGATTTGGAACAGATGCTAATTCAATGGAATCTTTATATCTTGATCAAGACTTTGTTGTAATGTTCACATTATTTTGTTAGACCACTGAGAGGTCAGAAAGTTTCATTGTCAAACAAACATCCTAGGGCTGTGGAAATTTCTTAGAGATGAAAGGCTTGCTGTACAATCATCAGGCAGGCCAGAGCACAAGTCTCCACCGCACAGAGCTGGGCATGGTAGTTGATGCTTGTAATCCCAGCTGGGGAGGCAGAGGGAGGCCAGGCCATCTAGCTGAATAGGTGAGCTCCAGGTTCAGGAGATCTTGTCTCGAAACAAGCAATCAAATAGGTGGAGAATAGTTGAGTAAGATACCCAGGGTTGACCTCCAGCTTTCACATGCACATATACATTAATGTTCCTGGGCACACACGTGAACACCTGTGTGCACATACCCACCCCCCACGAACGAATGAACATGCGTGCACATGCACAGCAGCTAGAGTACTTAGGGGGCCTGAGTAAAAGGAGATACTTTAGAAAGTAGTTAAAGTGCCATCGAGAATTGATCACAGAAAACTTTTATCATCGCTTTGATGTATAGTTGATAACTGATTCTAAATTAAATGCATTTCCAATTATGCTTATTTGAAACTTTCTGACGTATACCAGTGACATATAGCCATTGTCAGGCATTATTGTGATTCATTGGCATCTGTTTGAATTTCAACTTATATGTGTTTTGTGCTTTCATGAAGGTTATGCATTCAAGATCCACATAATTTAAGAATAATCTCATTTGAAAAATGATAAGTAGAACTCATTTTATGCATTGAGTACAGTTTATATCATTGGTAATATTTTTATATTGCACTGTTTCAAAGTTCTTTATGTTTGTATTGAATCTGAGTTGTATTAATAGGTGATTAAAATGGGCATATTTATTATTTATTTACTTTCTGTAGAAAATAGAACTTCCAAAGAAACTGACAAAACGCTATCCAGCCTATGAGCTGTATCTTTATGGAGAAGGGTCATACGCTGAAGAACACAAAATTCTCCCTTTGACAGGAATTCCCGTTCTCTTCCTTCCTGGTAATGCTGGAAGTTACAAGCAAGGTAGGTACTAGAAGGAAAAAGATAAAGCTGGGAAATTCAATTCCAGGCTTTGGCGTATTTGCATACTGCGTGAATCAAGTGGGGTAAATAAAAACCTTAGCCTGATAAGTACTGTGTCCGACTTCTGGGAGGGCCACGCATATGCCACTTCCTTCAAGAGAAAGCACTCATTAGAAATACAAGGAGAAGAAGAGTTGAAGACTGCTTTGCAAAGAATGAGAAGAATCAGATGGCATAGGGTAGGGAGAATAGATTATACAGATACTCGGGAATAGCAGAAGAAAGGTTCATACTGGAAATGAAGTTACAGAGAATGGAATTGGAAGCATTCACTAGGGAGAAAAGTATCTTAAACTACACGAGAGATCAGTTTCTCTCCTTGTGTGGAGACATGCAGCAGAATGGAGGGTTACAGAACGGTGGGGAGATTGGAAGTGATATGTTCAGGTTCCACATTCAGTGTTGGCTTGGAGAATGTCAGTTGTTTCTGGTATAACAATATAACAGTCAGATGTCCCAATCTGTAAGTAATTTTGTCTACAAAGTCTGCTTTGGTTTCTATAAGCATTCCAGGAATTGTTAAATAACAAAACCACAATTGTTTCAACATGTTGGGTAATTACTTATGTGGTTTATTTTCATTTACGAAATACTTGTGGAGTATTTATAGTAAGCCAGGGAGTATTCTAGGTCTTAATAATCCAGAGTAGAACAAGACATCACGGCCCTCACTCATCAAGCACATATTCTTATTGAGAAGACAGCTGTCAGTGGCTGTTCGAGTAATATTAAAGGCCACGAGGAATGTGCAAACCGCTGAAGGAGGCAGAGGTGAGCAGTAGGAAAGAGACCTGTTTTAGATGATGTGGCTGGGAAAGGCCATGTTGAGGAGATGGCATTTGAGGAGAGGTGAACATTATTGTTTGGAGAAGTCCCTGATGCAAGAGTATGTTTGGTGTGACCACTATGACTAGAGAAAAATGAAATGAGAATGGAAAGGTAGCTTATGACCTATATATAAGATCTGGGAAAAGCTGGATGTTTACTTGAGAGGGATATAAAACATGTATGCTTTGGGTAGAAATTATATAATCTGATTTTTTTGTTAACTCTCATGTTTGAAATGATACACACATACATTTACAATTATTACAAAGTGAGCTTACAGAGAACTAAAACCTCAGTGAAGAAGTAGAAAATTGCCAGCATCCTAAAAACCCTGTGTGTTCCTTCATGACTAAGGCTTTTCCCCCCACACACACACACACACACACACACACACACACACACATTTTCACAATTCTAACTTTAAGATAGTAATTTTCCTAAACTTTCTTTATAGTCTTAGTTCCTAAGTGTGGACCCCTAGTATATTCTATTGATTTTCGGGTGTTTTTAACCATTATAATGTATAATCATCCAGTATGTATTCTTTTGTGCCTAATTTTTTCCACTCAGTTTTGTCTATAAAAGTCTCCTAAGTTACTGTATGAACTGTAAACTGTTTATTTAACACTATATTGTTCATTTGTATACCTCTTGTAAAACGTAATTTGTATAATTTTTGTATAAAAGGTAAATTGAATGTTTACCTTTATTGGCAGTTACAAACAGTATCCTTCTGCACACATCTTAGAGCACATATGCTTCAGTACTTGTCGATGTATCCCAGGAGTATTAATTCCCCATCATAGGTTGTATATATCCTCTTATCTTTACCTATTATACTGATTTATATTCTTACAATTAGCATATGATCCTTCCTTTTATACTACCTCTTTGACAACATTGAAGCTGTGGAATTAAAATTTTAGAAAATCTAATGTCATTTACTTTTTGAAAAGGACCACTATGGCTCTGCTTTGAAGAGAATACATGTAGTTGGTTGTTTTACTCTTTTGCTCTTTTGAGGTCCTGCCACCCTGCTTCCAAATAAACCACATGGAGGCTTATTCTTTCTAATGAATACCTGGTTCAGTTTTTTTCTTGCTGTCTTTTCTCAAATTATCCTGTCTGCCTTTGCCTCTGGGCTTTTATCTTTCTCTATTTCTGTGTATCTTTCTTTACTTCTTTCTCCATGGCTTGCTGTGTAGCTGGGTGGCTGGCCCCTGGAGTCCCCATCTCCTCCTTTTTTTGCTCCTCCTTCCAGATTTCTCCTTCTGTTTATTCTCTCTGCCTGCCAGCCCTGCCTGTCCTTTCTCCTGCCTTGCTATTGGACATTCAACATGTTATTAGACAAATCAGGTCTTTTAGACAGGCAAAATAACACAGCTTCATAGAGTTAAACAAATGCAACATGAAAGAATGCAATACATCTTTGCATCATTAAAACAAATATTCTGCCAGGTGGAGGTGGCGCATACCTTTAATCCCAGCACTGAGGAGGCAGAAGCAGGCAGATCTCTATGAGTTGGAGACCAGCTTAGTCTACAAGAGCTAGTTTCAGGACAGCCTCCAAAGCCACAGAGAAACCCTGTCTCAAAAAACCCAAAACAACAACAAAACCCCAAATGCTCCACAGCATAAACAAATGTAACACATCTTAAAATAATATTCCACAACAAATATGCTAATATTGGACAAATGTGGAAGCAGAAAAGATGCTGGACATCGTTAGTCATCAGAGAAAAGCAAATCAACATGCGATGCCACTCCCGACAATGATACTAGGATAACTATAATAAAAAAAAGAGACAGTAGCAAGTGTTAGCAATGATGTGGCAAAGCCGGAATCCTTACTGTCCTAGGGTTTACTATTGAGACACCATGACCATGGCAACTCTTATAAAAGAAAACATTCAATTGGGGTGCTTGCTTGTAATTCCAAAGGTTCAGTCTACTATATTCATGACAGAGCATGGCAGCACACAGGCAGACATGGTGCTGGAGCTGAGAGTGCTGCATCTTGCAGGCAACAGGAAGTTGACTGACTGTCATACTGAGTGAAGCTTTATCAGTAGAGTGCGTTCCAAGACAGCCATGGGCTACACAGAAATCCTGTCTCAGAAACACAAAAAAAGTAAAACCCTTCAAAACAAAGTTGAATGGAATTCTGGAATGTTTTGTACAATGAGCTCCTCCCTCTTTCCTCTGCAGTCCGCTCTATCGGCTCCATTGCACTTAGGAAAGCAGAAGACATTGACTTCAAGTACCACTTTGACTTCTTCAGTGTGAACTTCAATGAAGAACTGGTGGCATTGTATGGTGGGAGTCTTCAGAAGCAGACCAAGTTTGTGCATGAATGCATTAAAGCAATTCTCAAACTTTATAAGGTAGGAGATAAATAATGCAAATCAGTGGTGTAACCTATATCAGCAGTGTTTGTTTTGTTTTTAAAAGATGTATGTATCTAATTCACAAATAATATATTTGGTTATATTGAAGTTGAAACAAAAACACAAAAATGGCAGTACTTTAAAAAACAATATGTGGTATCCTCAATTCAATGATAGTTTAAAGATTTAAGTTGAATTTGCAATTTCTTAGTTCACTGAGAGATAAGGTGGGGGCCAGTGAGACGTTAGTGTGATGACCTTCTGATAACCAGCAGACACCTGCTGCCTAGTGTGATGACCTCCATTCAGTCCCTGGAGCCCACATATTTGAAGGCGAGAAACTGCCCCTCTCCCCAAGTTGTCCCCTGACATTACATGTGCACATATACCAAACAACCAAAAACTAGAATGACTAAATTTCTATATTTTCAATAAATTTTAGGGAAAGGCATTTCATCAGGGATAAAGATGTATGTTTTAAAGACTTTGAGTTTCATCCTGAGCCCCGTCCCTAAAAGAAAGACATTTCATAATGATAAAAGGGTCAGTTCTCAAGAAAACAAAGTAATCATTTGTATGTATCTAATTCACAAAGCAAAATCCAGTAGAACCAAGGAAAGAAATGAACATTATTAGAACAGTTAGTGCTAGTGATTTCACTACTGTTCTCCCAGTTATTGATAAAGAAGTCAGTTAAACTATGGATTTGAACACTATTCACCACTTTTGCTACATAATGTTTATTAATAATAATAGAATACTGTACTCAACAACTATAGAAACATACTCTCTTTCAGTGAACAATGACCGTTTACTAAGTTCTATGCCAGAGCATATGCTGGGTCACAGGTGCTAACAATCTTCAAAGTCTAAGACTATACAGTGTATTTTCTGAAAATAGCAACGTTAAATTAAGGGTCAAAAAGGTACCTAAAATAACTATCACTTCTAGATTACCCAGAGTTTTAAAAAAGTGAAATTTGAAGATACTTTGAGCTGAATTAAAATGAAAACACACTGTTAGAATTTGTAACATTTTATACATGCACAAAATTATTAAATAATAAAGAATTTATAAGTCTAGGTAATGGTTAAAAGAAACACTGGTTTTGAATGCTTTTATTGGAAAAGAAATAAGATTTCAAGTCAGTGACTTAAGCCTACACCTTTATAAGTCAGAGAGAAAAGAAAGTTAACAAAGTACATAGAATAAGGAATCATAGTGAAAGAGGAAATTAAATATAAAACAACAGAATAACTTCTGCTAATGGTTGATTTTCCAAAAAGATCGACAACTTGGTAAATTATGGCTATACTGATTTATAAAATGAGAAAACTAAGTAGCAACATCAGGAGCTAATGATTTCCACAGAGCCTACACATTGAAGAGGGTGATGAAGGAACATTAGGCACACTTTCCTGCCTGTAAATTTAGTAACTGAAACATATACATTTCTTGAAACACAAATTATAAAAGTATCATAAGAAGAAATAAAAAATCTAGATAGTCCTCTGTCAGTTTATTTTATTTTATTTTTTCTTTTGAGTTTGTAATTGAAAATCTTACCACCAAGAAAAACAGAGGGCTAAATGACTTCCAGTGAAATTCTAGTCCTCACTTAAGAAATAACAATTACCAATCTTAGAACAATAAAAACAACTCCCAGAAGGAAACTGGAAAAAAAAAGACTCAGTTTCCAGTTCAGCATAGCTCTGACTACAAAACTAGGTAAGACTTTTTTAAAAAAAGAAAGACTAAGGGATATATAATTACATTTTAGAGAACACAACAGTCAGTGAAAAGAAACTAGAGACATTACTCATTATCATAAATATATAATTTTTAACTAAAAAACAGACTACCAAATTCAGCAGTATGTAAAAAGTGTAATATATCATGACCAAATATAATTTATTGCAAAAATTACTAAACAGGCTTAATATCTAAATATGAGTCAGTATAATTCATCATAGGATCATCTTTGAAGCTATAGCAAGCCATTTGACCACACTAGTACCTGTCTATGGCTTAATGCATAGAAAAAGGAACATGAACTCAGTGTAAGAGGAATAGAAATTAAATTTTGTTTTGTTTTTGAGACAGGGTTTCTTTGTGTAATAGTCCTGACTGTCCTGGAATTCTCTCTGTAGACCACGCTGGCCTCAAACTCATTGAAAACCATCTGCCTCTGCCTCCCAAGTGCTGGGATTAAAGGAGTGTGCCACCAATGCCCAACTAAAAATTAACTTTCTTACCCTGAGGAATCATGAGTGTTATGAGAGAGAAAATGATCCTCTTTAGGTTCAGGTAATAACTGATAAGAATATTTGTCAGATAAGATAAATAAAGGTCAACCACAGTAAGCAAACTTTAATATTAATAGGGTAGGTAGTTTATTAGTTTTTCTAATTTTTCTAATGAATCCATTAAACTTATAATACAACTAATCAGTATTTTTAAGATAAGATACCAACAAAAATTCCTATTACAAACAAGTGCAGTAAGAATCGAAGGACAGTTGAATCTCATTAAATGGTTAAGATACAGGTATGGAAAGATCATTCTGGGTAGAGAAAACCTCATCATCGTTAAGAGTCTAAATACAGCAATGTAGAAAACCACAAAGCAGCTGGGGTAGGTCAGGTAGACATGTAGACAATTTTAATGTTTTACCCCCTTTTATCTAGGGTGGTATGGAAAACCATTGGGCAGAGAAGTGACACATTCTTATATAAATTTTAATAGCATCATTCTGGTTATTTTAGAGGATCAACTGGAGGGGCATAAGGGTGGAGACAGGGAGACCAGGTAGAAGCCTATTGCAGTCTCTCAGACAAGAGTCAATAATGCTTTAAATTAAGTTGGGAGTAGCTGAAGTGCTGAGGACTGGGCAGATTGGTGCTACTATCAGAGGTGGAGGCAGCAGGCTTGGCTAGCAGATTGCAGCATGAAGTTCTGTATGAAGGAAAAGGAGTTAAGAATGACTCCAAATTTTTTGTTTGGACAACTGAAGGATTGGATTGCCTCTGATAGGAAGAGAGAGAGAGAGAGAGAGAGAAAGAGAGAGAAAGAGAGAGAGAGAGGGGAGGGAGGGAGGGAGGGAGGGAAGGAAGGAGGGAGGGAGAGATCTAAGAACTGAGGCACAGACCATTCATTTAAGAGGTGAGGAAATGAAGGAGCACAGCACCAAAGACAATAAGAGAGCAGGAAGTGGGAGGTGCAAAGGTTGGCCATTATGGTGATGAACTCTGTCTGGGATCCCCAAGACCATCCCCAGGCCAGCTGGCTTGATAGTGGGATTCATAGACTTAGTTTATAACATACTTACAACTGTCACACAGTGAAAGGACACAAAGCAAATGAGTAGAGGGAAAAGGACACAGGATGAAATCTGGAGAAAGCAGGTGTCCAACAGCTCTCTTGGGGCGGGGAACACATTCTGACTTCATCCTTCCATCAACAAATTATGGGTGCGCGTTAGAGATTCAGTGCCCCAAGTTTTTAGTGGGAGCTGAAGCTGAATCTATCTGCTTAACCTATACCAGAATTCTAGCCTGGAGGACAACAGGTGGACAACAATGTCATAAACCATATTGTTTGCATTGTGGGCACTGTGAGTTATCTAAAGAGTGACAAGGGTCCTCCCAAAATACAAGGTCCCAGACCACACTTTCATTTATTTCATTCTAAGAATAGCAGATGCAGGCCTCCGTGTCAGCTCTGTTTTGCACGGTAACAAGAAATGGTCCATGTGAAGGGTCAATGTTGTGGGAGACAAGTCTATGTTTAATAGGAAGACTAAGGAGATCAGCTGACACAAACTTTTTGTTGTTTGTTTGTTTGTTTGTTTTTGAGATGGTCTCACTATGTAGTTCTGGATGATCTAGAGCTCACTAAGCAGATCATACTGGTCTTGAACTCATGGTGATCCACCTGCTTCTGCCTCCTCAGTGCTTGTATTAAAGGTTTGTACCACCACACCTGATAAACAAAGATTATTATTGCTTTTTAAAATTAATTGCCTTTGTGTATATGGATATTTTCTCTGCTTGTATGTCTGTACACTATGTGTGTGCCTGTGCCTTTGCAGGCCAGAAGAGGGCATTGGTTCCCTGGGATTAGAGTTACAGACTGTTGTCCACATCCACCATGCAGGTGGTGGTAGTTGAGCCCCAATCCTCTGGAAGAGTTAGTGAGGTTAACTTCTGAGACATCGCTCCAGCCCCAACAAAGATTATTTTTAAGGCAATACTTATTTAAAGAATTACATAACCTGTGAATAAATGTTTAAGATGCTATTTTTTTTAAAAAATTCAAATGCACTGTAGAGAAATAATTTGAAGACATACCATATGATAGTATATTGCTTCTACGGCTATAACTGTCTTGTTTTTTAAAACTATTTTCAGTGCCAAATATCTGATTTTTCTATATTATAAAATAATGTAACTGTCTTGTTTTTTAAAACTATTTTCAGTGCCAAATATCTGATTTTTTCTATATTATAAAATAATGTTCTATTCTATATTAAATATACTTATACTACAGATTGTATACAACCTAACAAATGAAGACATACGTGACTCACTAAATCAAGAATTCCAATTTCAGTTCAGAAAACCATAACCAAAAATAACAACTGTTAAAAGTAACATAACATAAAGGACTGACATATTGTTTATAACTGTGTGAAAATAGATTTCTTTCTCTCCTATGGTTTATCTTTGCTAGGATATTGCTCATATGCAAACAGAAGTATTCAGTATTTTTCTTATAATATTAAGAATCCTGTTGTGGTGATTTTTTTCTTTTCTTCCTTTTTAATAGGGTCAAGAATTTGCTCCCACAAGTGTGGCAATAATTGGTCATTCTATGGGTGGCCTTGTTGCCAGAGCATTGCTTACACTGAAAAATTTTAAACAAGATCTGATAAATCTTCTTGTTACTCAAGCCACTCCTCATGTGGCCCCTGTGATGCCATTAGATCGTTTCATTACGGGTGAGTATATTCAAACTGACCTTCTCCTGTGAGGGTAAAGACTGTCTCTGTAGCTATTTCCAGTAGTGTTTTTACCTATGTGTGAGGCAGTCCAACTGCAAATCAGCACTTCCATTCTCACTGTCACCAATCTCTTTCAATCTAGGCTTCTCATTGAGAAAGCCATGGGTTTTCCTTACCCAGCCAGTTGACCTGAGTCTGATGATCCCTAGGTTCTAGCACTCCAACTTTGTTATTCTTAGGAATGATCTTTGTCTTCTAAGAGTTACTGATTTGAAACTTGCCATATCAGAATCTTAAAGTAACAAAATTAAGAAATCTTATGATTAAAATGGTGGATGGGTAGACATTCAGGAAAAGAATCAAGAACTGAAAATTATATTTATTACCACATTTTCTGTTGCATTTTGCACAGTACATGTAGACGAGTCATGTAGTTAAGTTAAAATGCTTATAGATACACTTAAAAATAATCGCTTAAGATTAAACCTCTTTTTCTTTTATTCTTTTTGTTGTGTTGTTTTGTTTTGTTTTGTTTTCTGTGTAACAGCCCCTGGCTGTCCTGGAACTCATTCTGTAGACCAAGCTGGCCTTGAACTCACAGAGATCCGTCTGCCTCTGCCTCCCAAGTACTGGGGTTAAAGGTGTGCACCACCACCACCAGGCTATTCTTTTGTTTTTAAATAATCAATTTTTTTAGTTCTTTGAGAGTTTCATACAACATGTTTTGATCATATTCACCCATCTCCTCCAACTCTCCTCTGATTATTCCCCCACTCCCTACCTACCCAACATTTTGTCAAGCTTATTTTTTGAATCCTTCAAGACCAATTGGTGCTGTCCATATATTCTTGGATATATGATCTTGTACTGAATCAATCTATCAGAGATTGTACTTTTAGAGAAAACCTTTTCTTCTTCTCCCAACAGCTCATAATGGCTAGTAACTTCATGGCTTGTGGTGGGACTATGTGCCACCTCTCTCCTTGCTGGGATCTGCTCCGGCTTGGGCTTGCATTGGTTTTGTAACCTGCTGTTGAAACCCACTGTTAGTTCCTCAGTGTAGCTGCCTCACTGTGTCCAGAAGCCAAGGTTTCCTTGTGATTATCTTCTGCCTCTAGCTATTATACTCATTCCTCCCATCTCTTCTGCAGTGATCCCTGAGCCTTGGGAAGTAGGCTGCAGTATGTATCTTCCCCTTAGGGCTGGACATTCTGTAGTCTGTTATTCTCTTCACCTTGGCTAGTTATGGGTCACTGGATTAATCACTATCTATTGCAGATAGAAGCTTCTCAGGGTGAGGGATGATAGGCACATGGATGTATGGGTATAATAGTAAGTCACCAGGAGTCAGTTTAATACTGTGCCCATTTAGCAGCATAATAGCAGGCTCTCCCTTAGGTAATACAACCTATCTACCATAGGTTTCTAGCCCAATAATGGTGTAATGTATGGGTTTCATCCTGCACAGAAGGACTTAAATTTGATCAGAAAGTTATTGGTTCTTCCCACAATGTCCCTGCCAGTATTAAACCAGTGGGAATGTCTTTCTAGGCCAGTCATTATTACAGCTTTCAGGGTTTAATAGCTGGGTATGGGTTGATAATGACTTCTCTCCTCGGGTAGTCAGCATAGCATCTTTTAGCACTGTTAGAGATAGCCAGTAGGGACAAAGTTTCCAGGTCAATATCAGCTTGATTTCACCATGTTCTATGACTGCCATGTGGCATCTTTAGCAGTTGGATCTTTTATTTTTATTTTTTTAGTTCTTTTCTCATATTTTACATCCCCACTGTAATTTTTCTTCCCTTCCCTCCTCCAGTCTCCCCATCCCACCTCTCCTCTTCCCCAGGTCTATGCCCCCTCAGAAAAGAACAGAACTCTCAGGGACATCAACCAAATAGGGCATAACATGCTACAATATGACCAGGCACATGCTGTCACATCAAGGCTGGATAAGGCAACCCTATAGGAGGAAAGGGTCCCATAAGTAGGCAAAAGAGTCAGAGACTGCCCCCACTCCCACTGTTAGGAATCCCACAAGAACACCAAGCTACTCAGCCAGAACATACATTCGGAGAACCTAGGTCAGACTCATATAGCTCCCTGATCTCTGCAAGCCCCCATGAGTCCCTGTCAGTTGATTCTGTGGGCTGTTTTCTTGTGAGGTTTCTGATCTCTCTAGTTCCTCCCCCTCCTCCACAGAACTCCCCGAGCTCCACCTAATGTTTGAGTATGGGACTCTGCATTTGGTTCCATCAGTTGCTAGATGATGAAGTCTCTCTGGTCTCTTTGGTGAGGATTCTGCTAGACTCCACTCCCAGAATACTCTGCAGGCAGGGCAAACTGTAGGTCTAAGGTTTTGTGGCTGAGTTGGTGTCCCAATACCTCCACTTTGAGGCCTTGCACATTATAGAAGATTGTTGGTTCAGACTCTGTGTCCCACATTCCTAGGAGTCTTTGCTAGGGTTACTTTCATAGATTCCATGGAGTTCCCATTGTACTAACTTTCTACCTCCCCCTCCAAATGTCCCCAATCTCATTCATTTCTCCCAGTATTTTTTCCTCCCAGCAGTAGGATCTTGATGTCAAATAGAGCCTTGTATTTTCTTACTAAATCACACCCTTGAGCTACATCCCTGTCCCCTGACGGATATATTTTCAATACTGTCAGGTTTAATTGTTCTAAAGGACAACAATGATCACCTGTAAAACTGCTAGTCTGAAAGTGATACCTAAGCTTAGGTTGCTTTTCCTGAGTTATAGGAAGCCCAGTCTCGTTCTACTTTCTGATTTCTTATTTCATCAAATCAGAATTAGAATAAAAAAGTATTTAAGTAGTCATGGATTTTAAGTTTTTGAGAGATATACATATGACTTTCAGAAACAAATGTCCTGCTTATACTTGGTGGAAATACCACCTTTAATTGAGGAATGTGGTCCTCACTGGGCCTGCCCTTTGAGGGTCATGTCTGACTGTACCTGTCCCCACAGGGTAAGAGGGATACATACACTAAGCAGGCTTTCTCCTGTGACTCAAGCTCTTATTCCCAGATCATGATTCAGGAAATGAAACTTCCAGATTTCTTGTTTATTTTTTTTCTGGAGAGTGTTCATGTAGTCCACTTACTATCCTGATCCTCCTGCCTCCTCATTGCTGTGCTTACAAGTTTGCAACACCATGCCCAGCTCATGTGCCCCAAGCTCTTTCCAGGGCTGGCATGGGCCTCTCACATGTCTTTTTTTGTAGGAGCAGTTGCATACAAACCTATAATGATCTGTGGCATAGGTGTGGCTCTGTAATGGAGCTTGGACATTCATACAAGGTTCTTGAGATGTAGGATAGAATTAGATTGGAAAGAGAAAGTGACAAAGCAGTGAACCAGAGATCTGTTCCTCTGTGTCATCATAATCTAGTGCTGACTTTAAAGACTCTGGGAATCCTTAATCTTTATAAAGTCTTCTTAATGGTTTGTCAAGGAAAGAATAGAAAATATTTAATTTAGTAGTTTTGTAACTGATTTTGATTTTAATATTTAGACTTTACTATTTAGTTTCATTGATAACCCATTGGTCCTGGGTTCTCCAGATGTCAGATCTTGGCATACTTGGTGAGGTCTCAAATACATACTGTTGAGATCTTTAATGAGGAGAGCTGTGCATAGTAAAGGCTTGAAGGATGAATGGGATCTGATGGAGTATAGCAATGGATTCAACTTTGATACAGAGTAAAAGAAATGATATCTCCTTTGGCCTGGTCTCAGTTTAGTAATCAACATTAAAAATTTATTAGTTTTAGTAGATGAAGTGAAAACTTGACTGGAAGGTCATCACTTTAAATTTGCTGCTCAATTTAATGGATAGAATCCTAAGCCTGAGATTTCCTTCTGAGGTGTACTCCTACAATTAATATGGCACTGTCTTGGAAGATTGTAGGAACTTACATAGTGATGTGTGGTGATGGTTGTCCAAAGCAGGGTTGCTAAGCCTTCAAAAACTGGGACACATCTGTGACAGGGAGGAGTGTATGTCTCTTTTTTTGAAGACCACTTTATTGAGGGTAATTCATATACAAAATACACATATTTAATGTATGCACTATGATGGGAGTGAACAGGGCATATATCATGACACTAGCTTCATGGATGTCTACAACTCCTTTATAAAGTCTGGGATTCTGTGGAGGAATCCAACAGTTTCTTTGTTATGGTGTGTGGAGCACCATTCTTGTTAGTTACAGAGACATAGTTTGCATGTGTACTTAATGAAAGCTGTTACAATTTGGACTTTTTCTTTACTAACACCTCTAGTTACTTTCAGTATTTTACTTTGACTTATATGCAAATCTGATGATTTTTCACAAAATAGGGAAATGTGAATAATGTTTATAGACCAAATAACTCAAGCAAAAATTCAGATAAATATTAGTATTATAAGTTTGGCTGCATGAAATAGCTTATTTATCAGTGTTTCTTTTTTATTTCCTTCCAGAGTTTTATATGACTGTGAACAACTATTGGATTTTAAATGCTCAGCACATAAATTTGACTACACTTTCTGTAGCTGGAGGATTCCGGGATTACCAAGTTCGTTCAGGACTGACTTTTCTACCAAAATTAAGCCATCACACCAGTGCTTTATCTGTTGTGGTAATTATTTTAAAGATTTTATATCGTAATAGAGTAGACATGATGGAACATCAAAAGGGCAATTAGTGTATACCTGCTTGTAAATGAGTGCTGAGTTGGTGGAGCAGGCCTGTGTGTGTGCATGCATGTGTGTGCCTGTGTGCACACAAGCATATGTGCACATGAGCACATGGGCATATGTTTCAGAAAATTTGAATGAAGATGAATGTGTTGAGAAACAGAAGCATGGATGTTTATGCCAGAGAAAATAAAAAGGATGTTAGAAACCTTGAAAATAATAGTCTCCAAAATAAGAATCTATCCATTAATTAGAGATGTAACTATAATAAAGTATGGGCTAAACACAAGGGGATCTAGTTACATATGAGTGTGAGAGTGTGTATAATACTAATAAAATGTCAGACATACCCCCATCCTCCTGAACGCTAATTTTGAGTCAAGATTTACCAGTTGCTAAATAAAATCATGCTCTTTGACAGTAGAAATACAAATAAAACCCCGATTAGCTTTTGGATTACTACTTAGCCTTCCCTGCCAGAACATTGAGTATTTCTCCTTAATTAGCATACACAGCCTTTGTAAAGTGATCTCAGGTTTCCTTTAGAACTTCTTGTATATTTAACCGTGACGTCAACTGTTAAGACCTTTACTTCAAAGGCACACACAACCTCTCTAGAGTGTGGTTCACCTGTCCCCGGTGCTTTGGTGAGATGGTGGTAGAACATCACTGCTTCTGAGTTGTTTTTTGGCACACATGTGCATGCACACACACAGGCCTGCTCCACCAACTCAGCACTCATTTACAAGCCATGCGGGTGCTGGGAATTGAACCTGGGTCTTCTGAAAGAACAACCATTGCTCTTAACCGCTGAGCCATCTCTCCAGAATTCAACCTTTTCTTTTTCTTTTTAAAGATGTATTTATTTGTTTTGTATAGTGTTCTGCCTACATGTATACCTGCATGCCAGAAGAGGGCATCAGATCTCATTACAGATGGTTGTGAGCCACCATGTGGTTGCTGGGAATTGAATTCAGGACCTCTGGAAGAGCAGTCAGTGCTCCTAACCGCTAAGCCATCTCTCCAGTCCCCTAACTTGACTTCTATTTTTTAACTCTCAAATAGTCTATAATTTTTTGCATGTTTATATGTATGCCATTAAAGCCAATTAAGAAATAACTGTTTTTCAGTGTTTATCACAGGAGTTACATTTATATTCATTGGGACTAGAAAAATGATAAGGTGTTAATACCATAATTGTGGTTGTAGAATAGGTTAAATTGCTATAATATATTCCCTTCCAGGTAATAATGTCATAAATACAAATGAACATTTACTATGTAGGTCAATGGGTGGCTTCTGATTCAGAGACCTAGGCTGATGCCGACCCCGTCTGGAATACTTCCAAGATCACTGCAGTCATCACTAGTTCAACTGATGAGAAAGAAGAATCAACATAGGGAAGAGCACTGGGGCTGAAAAGGCACCCACTACTTCTGCTCACACACCATTAGAGGAAGTACTATTAACTTCCTAAAGCAAGAGAGGCCGAGGGATTTAGCCATGCTATTTGTTGTAGAGAAGAGTGAATGCGTTTTAGTGTACAATTAGTGCTTTCATGAGCAACCAGCCTTAAAAAATATACTCACGTTTTTAAAATTTGTTCTTTAACAGTTTCATAAATGAATATAATGTGTACTATTTACTCCCCTACCCTCCTATTGCCCTCCCACCCCTGCTAACCTTCTTCCCTGCAAATCTCTACTCCATGTTCATTTCTGTCTGTTTGACTTTGTGACCCACTGAGTTTAACAAGGGCTGTCTGTGTGAACACAGGTTTGGATCTATCCATTAGAGCCTACTGGTCTTACTGTAGGTACACAATTGAATGCCTTGTTCACAATCTGTCAGTAGCCAATGATTAAGCAGTAGGGGTGGAGACTCATGAGCTTCTCCTCCTTCCATAGCTAACTGTTGACAAGGCTAATCTTGAACAGGCCCAGCATCAGTAACCACAGCTAATGTGAATTCATGCTTGCAATGGCTGTGTCCTACCTAGAAGATGGCTTTTCATAGCTCTTCTCCAGGTAGTGGGACTTCTTTCTGCCCTTCTTCTGCAGTGTTCTCTGAGCCTTAGAGGGAGGCCGTATGTGGTGTCTGTGTTGCCTCTATCAACTCAAAGAAAATAAGGCACTTTTGTTTTCTTGATAATGGTAAATGCTGCCTACTAGTAGTTGAGCTATTATTCTGCTCAGCAGCTAATAAAAATCTTAGAACCATAGAGAACTCTGGTTGTCAGATTTTTTAGTAATTCACCAGCAGTAGTTCCTAAGTATATAAAGTGCCTATAAATTTATCAATAAAAGGGGTGAGGAGGAATAAAAGTTATAGAGCATGAAAATGATCAGTATATTATGTGGATGTATGGAAATGTCATAATCAAACTCTTTTATATAGTTAATACATGCTAATAAATATTTCTCAGACACACTCCTGCTAAAAAAAATCATATTTTAGAACTTACCAAGTAGTAGTTTAGTCAAAACTAAATCCTGAAATGTCTACTGGAGCTTCTACATTTATGTAAAAGTAAAAAAAAAAAAAAAAAACCCTTTAGGTAAGAAAGATCCCTTATTTAATAAGATTCCTTAATAAGATTCCTTATAAAAGGAATGTTAACCTTCATCCAGTAGCTGTTTGAAGCAGAGACAGGTGCCCACAGTTAAGCACTGAACCATATCCCTGGAAACCAATTGTGGAGAGGGAGGAGGGATGAGCATAGAAGCCAAGACTGTGCTGAAGGAACCTGCAGAAACAGTTGCCTGGCCTATTGAGAGCATGAGAGCTCCCAGTCATGGAGCTGCAGAAATAGTATTGGATCGAACCAAGCCCTCTGAATGTGGGTGCCAGCTAGGAGGCCAAAACAGTCTATGGGACCTCTAACAGTGGAGCCAGTCTTTAACTCTAGAGCACAGATGGACTTTGGGATCCCATTCCCTATGGAGGGATGCTATTGCAGCCCAGATGCAGCAGGGAGGGCCTGGGCCCTCCCCTAAACTATATGATGGGGATGGATATGTAAATATGAGTAGTAATTAAAGAATTTAAATAAAAGTAGAAAAGGAATGTTAAGCTCAACTTTTTAATCATTTAACTTTAATCATAATCATTAATCATAAACATAATAAATGTTTAATCATTTAAACATTTTTAAAATGTTACATGTTAAAACCTCAGCATAGGTTCTTTGGATATATTATTAGGATCTCCTTTTATAAAAAGGAATATTTTAATTAAAGAATTATACAATATAGTGAAATTAACATGTGTTTCTAAATACTAGTTTATGAGAAATCCAACAAATAGTAAATGGGTTCTGTATTTGAGTTTAATTCTTTTTCTTTTCCTTCTAGAGCTCAGCAGTGCCTAAGACCTGGGTTTCAACAGACCACCTCTCCATCGTGTGGTAAGTTATAACCTCTGTTCATGATTTCTCATTAATGCAGTAATTGGTTTTCTAGATTTCATAGAATGTGACCCCGAATTAAGTCCAAGAGTAAAAGATTAATAGGGGCTTAGAGCTCAACACTTGGCTTTTGCTTGTTTGACCATGGTTTCCTTGACAATCTGTATCATCATCCTCTGAAGCACAAGTTAAGTCACTCTGAATGATGCTGGCATCAAATACTAAATTTTAGGGTTTGTCATCACTGGGTGGAGTCAGATGTGCCCCTAAGAGGAATTTCTGAGCCAATCACTGCATTCAGTTATGATTAATGCAGTGCTGGCTGCTGCCAGGCAGCAATGGAAACCAACTAGAAATTATATCTGTACCTAATATAAGTAGATACACAAGAGATTACATATGGATCAAGAAAAGCAAAGACTCCAGTGTCTAGCTCCTTGCACTTTCTGATTCTCTTTTGTCCTTCCTGTGTCTGTATAAGCCTAGTGTCTTCAAGATCCACACAGTACAGGCATGTAGAGTGGCACAGACAATATTTGTGTCTATAGCTGGAAGTCACATGGGCAACAGAAGGGCGGTTCTGCTGTCAGATATCCATAAATATTTAATTTGCTTTGCTTTTATATGTTTCAGCCTTGATATATACACTTAATAAGAATGATTTGTTGAATACGTTTTTAGTGCACAACATTAAAGGAATATAATATACTCCATTAACTAATAGAATTGTGCATATTTGAATCAAAATTGGTGGTTGGTGGCTTCTGGGGGAGGGAGAGTCACTTTTCTTTGGGGGTATGGTGACTGGTAGAGTCCCCATTCCCTAATGGATTATCCCGCACTCATGCATGTGTGCGTGGGACTAATTGGATTTAGTGAGTTAAAAAATGAATTAAATTTAAGAGGAGAACATGAAATTGGGATGGAGATATGATGTAGGGGTTGTGGGGATGGTTGGGGAGGAAGCAAGGGGTAGATATGGTCAAGGTATAAAATTTTTAAAAAAAGAAATATAATTTGTAACATTTTATTTTTTGTTATGTTGCTTTATTAGTAACAATTTCAAATTGAAAAAATATTTTAAAGAAAATTGTATCTGTAACATTCTCTTTACTTTTTTAGGTGTAAACAATTGCAGTTGACTACAATCCGAGCATTCTTTGATCTTATTGATGCCGATACCAAACAAGTATGCATTTTTAATTAAATGTTTATTCTAGCAAAGTGAAAGTTTTTGTTAGCACTAATAGATTTAACATGGATACTAAGAGAAACCTGTACCTTGTATCAAGATGAATTAGTTCTGAAATGGAAATAACTTTATTTCTTCTGATGTAATACATAGACCATTATTGATCTCTCCAGCTCTTAATTTTAATTTAATAGAAATATTTACAACAGACTAATTAATCATTTTTTCTTAGTGACGTATGAGGATGTCATAATCTATCTTATTAGGTACTCTTGAGCTGTGTTTTAAAGTTATCTTTAGCATATTGATAACATCAAAATGTATGACAACCTCCAGTAACTCACATTACAGAGTCAGCTTCTTACTGCCTTGGGTTGAGCCTTTCTGTAATGAGATCTCAATGCAACTGTGCTTTCCAAGTTGTTCAGTTAGCAGACCACAGGAATCACCCACCATACTCTCTCTGCACAGAACATGGTGCCACTCTTTCGTTGCTTTCTTAATGACTGCTAGATGAACTGTGCTAGTTCATTTCAGCATGGTTAAGAGCCTTGTGTTCCTCAGTTTCACTTTCTTTTGTGAGTTGGGAACAAGCTGCCTTCCCCCAGTCATCTTGCAGTGTTTCTCTGTTCCCTGGGAATGGCTTTGAGAGCCATGGCTCTGCCTTCTTCCTCCTCCTGGAGAAAATGTTAGTTTTTGAGATAGTCTTTTTCATTATGACAGAGCATTATAGCCCCAAACCTTAATGATTGTGTGACTTTAGATAAATGCATATTTTTCTGCATCTTAGTGTTTTTGTTTTTTTTTTTTCAAAAAATGCAGATAAATACTATCAGGTTTTGTGAGGATTAGCGCTATATTGTTTTAGAACAATGCCTGGCTCAGAGAGAGTAATTGTTGACTCTTTGCTACTTGAAGTAACACCTTATCAAATTATCACGATGTAAATGATCTAGACTATATTAATGTTCTTTCTAGATAACTCAAAAATATAAGAAGAAATTGTCTGTGTTGACTCACCATTTTATAAGACACCCAGCTAAACATTTTGAGGAAAGCCCATCAATAATTGCTGATCTAACAGGTTTGTGATGGTAACTTTAAAGTAGAACTTTTCGTTATTGTGTTTGGTAAGTGTGTTATTAGTACACAGCTGTTAGTATTTGGTACTGGGGGAAACTGGGATGCTTCAAGTAATATGGTCCTATTATTTACCGATTTCCCTATCATGGTGCTAATGAGGTCTTGATTTGAAAGGGAAGAGTAGAAAAGCAAATTGCAAGATGTGGATCAAAGTTTGTGCTGGAAATAACTTTGTAAATACAAAGGTTTTAGAGTTGCATGCCCCTGTTTTTCCTGATGGTCACCAAAAGTAAGAGCTGTATTATTTATAATATCTTTATTCTCTCAGTGTCATTTATTCTTCAACCTTCATTTGCCTATCATTTGCTGGATACATTTGCTCATAAGCATTTATTGCTTTACTTATTTAAACATTTTGCTTGGGGAAAGTAATAGTCACTTCCTTCTACTGAGAATTCCATTAAGTTAAAGACTCTGAGTGGATTTATAATTCCTCATCTGATATGAACACTGGTTGATGTTAAGCACCAAGATAGTGTTTCTGGATTTTATCTTTTAAAGTAGCCAATGTTCAGAGAACTACTTGTTTGTTATTGTTAGTAAGTATTTATCAGAATTCAAAAAAAGAAGGAAAAATTTTAATGTGGAAACAAAACAAGGCAAATAAATTAATTTCCTTCCCATTAAGGGACATCTATGTGGGTTCCAGTGAAAGTGTCCAGATGGACCTATGTGGCTTATAATGTAAGTATTCTACCAGTGTGTTTTTGTCCAAACTTACTCTCATATTTATCTTTAAAAGTTAAGAACTTTAAAAAGCAAATCACATCATTTCCCACGATCTACTAAGAATATCTTAATAATAAATATCAAATCTGTTCAATTTCCCTATTTTATCATAAATTTGGACCCTTTTTCTTTGTTTTCAGTTTATTTTGTTAAGGATCCAAATGAGGCCATGTATCACTGTTGTTTGATATGTCTGGTATTCCTTTTCAATATAGTTTCCACTCTTTTATTTTCTTTGAAATTTATTGACAAAAATATCAGTCTCCTTTTATGATGGAATTTCATATTGGTTTGATTTTGCTGATAGCATTTCTGTGATCATTCAATATTTTCCTTTGCCAGCCTTTCCTATTATTTAAGAATTGGATCTAAATGCTCTATAGATTCAATTTTTTCTTAGAATTTTTTTTGCCTTTCCTACATTCTCTTCTTGAGATATGAACAGTTGGTAGGGAATGCCTGAATTAATTAATAGAGGAGGATGCAAAATGACGACATTCTGTTTCTCTTTCATTTATTGACTAGGATACCGCACAGAAAAATTTCCCTTTATCTACTAAATTTATCAAAAGTAAGACAAATCCCAAAGGAAAGAATGATAAATGCTTGACTTTTGGATTTTACCTTGTATATAGTGGCTATTAAGAGAGTGAGTTGGCTTGTTAGCATTCCTCATGGGTTAACTCATGTATGTAAATATGCTTGCATTCATTTAGTTCATTGATTCTAAAGTTGTTCTTTGCTTGACAAGTTGAAGCCATTTCAAGTTTGGCTCTTTAGCTTTTACATACAACTACTTAGTTGTAGTTTCTGCTAGTGTCCTCATTTGCTGGTGTGACAAAATATTTCAGCTCAGTTTTTGCCTTTCCCCATCTGAATTTGCTGTTTATTTAAGGGAGTGTTTTATTTAGGAAATGGTACCTGCAAACCTGGCTTATGGTTCTAGGTTGTCATTTATGGACCTTTCCAGTAGCCAGAGTGATTGAAAGTTCAAACATCACAGTCATGCATGATGGTGCACCTCACACCTTTAATCCCAGCACTTGGGAGGCAGAGGCAGGAGGACTACTGAAAGTCTGAGGCAAGCCTGATCCACATGGCAAATCCTGGACCACCCATTGCTATAAAATGAAGTCCTGGCTCAAAAACCAAAGCCAAACACCAAAAAAAAAAAAAAAAAAGTAAACAAAGGCTAAAACATCACACACATGAATGCATTAATCCTGATGCTTCCAGGATGTCTACAGAGTTTTTACTTTATCTCTTCCCTCCTTATCTTTTACCTTCCATTCCTTGACAATTGGTTCTTAGTAACAGCAATAATATATAGTTTATTCTTGTTACCATGATTTTTCAAATGATTAAATTATTCATTCATTATAGTTAAATTGTTTTCTTTCTCTTTTAGGAATCTGATAAGATTTATTTTACATTTCCTCTTGCAAATCATAGGAAAATCTACAGTCACGTCTATTGTCAGAGCACCATGCTGGTAAGATGATTGACATGTCTGATTTAAGTTTGAAAAGAGTTGTTCATCCTTTTAATTTCAACTGATGGTCTAATAAGACTAGCTATAATTAATTGAGTTTAGCCAATTGAAAACTTTTGTTTGGAACAGTGTTTTGATGAGAATTATTAGGCACCGTTGATCTGTAACTGATAAACTTGTGCTATTAACTTCTACATTCGAGTCTTCCATCCTGTTCTTCTACCTTAGATTCACTATATTCAGGACAAGGAATTAAATCCTAAACTTTTGATAGTTTTTTACAAGTAAGGATAGTTGATGAAGCTGTCTGAATGAAGTTTAAGGAAATAAACCTTGTTTTACTCTTGATCATATACTGAAATGTAGGTGCTGTTTTTTATACCAGATGTTCTTTAGGACTGTAGAGTGACTATAATATAGGTTCACACTATCAAAGCAATGGCTTTTTCTTTTTATTAAAGGCCTGTTTCCATCAGTCACTGGATTTAGAGATCCGTGGCCAAACACTGAGCAGAGCTCAGGAGTCCTGTTGAGGATAGGGAGGAGGGATTGTAGGAGCCAGGGAGTCAAGGACATCGGAGGAAAACCTGGCTCATGGGAACTCACAAAGTCAGAACCAACAATGAGGGAGCCTACATAGGACCAACCTAGGCCTGCTGCATATATGTGACAGTTGTGTAGCTTGGTCTATTTGTGGGACTCCTGGCAATGGGATCAGAATTATCCCTGGTGCTTTGTCTGGCATTTGGGAACCTATTCCTCATGCTTGATTGCCTTGCCCAGCCTGAATACAGGGGGAGGTGCTTAGTCTTATGGCAGCTTGATATGCCATGCTTTGCTGATGCCCAGGGGAGGCCTGCCCCTTTCTGAGCCAATATGTGGGAGGGGTTGATTGAGGGGAGGAAGGAAGAAATGGGATGGCAGGAAGGAAGAGAGACAAAGGTCAGGATATAAAATTAATTAATTAATTAAAAAATTAATACCTGCTAAATACACTTACACTAATTTAGTATCATATAGACTAGACTAGCATGGCCTATACATGGATAGTATACAAATTTGTGAAATTTCCTTTTTCCTTTTTCTTTTTTGCTTTTTTGAGAGAGAAGGTTTCTCTATGTAACAGCCCTGGCTGTTCTGGAACTCACTTTGTAGACAAGGCTGGCCTGAAACTCACAGAGATCCGCCTGCCTCTGCCTCTGCCTCCCTAGTGCTGGGATTAAAGATGTGCATCACCATTGCCTGGTGAAATTTCCTTTTTTTAAAACAAACAAACAAACAAAAAACTGTTGCGGTCTTTTTCCTCTCTTCTAAATTGTAGTTTTGGTATGTCTCAGGTTTTTGTTTTTAAATAATCATCATGTATTACTGGCTGGCCTAGAACTCTCTGTAAGGACCAGGCTGGCCTTGAATTCAGAAGTCCACCTGCTTCTGTCTCTCAAGTGCTGGGATTAAAGATGTGCACTACCATGCTGGGGTCAGGATTCTTTACGTTATATTTTCATCTTTCATAATTTAATTCTTTATCAGTTAAGCTTTCAATAGTTGTTATTCGTATTATGTGTTTGAGGGTGAGTCTTGCTGTGTAGTTTAGGTTGGCCTTTCAACATCCTACCCAGGCTCTTGAGTAGCTAAGATTCTGTGTGTGCAGAACTCAGAGCCGGTGTATTATGTCGCTAGTAGATGTTACCACTGATGCATCATACATAGTGCAGTTCTAAAGAAAAGGTTGTAGGCAGCCACTGTGGGCATGATTTGAAAGAATACTATATCTTAGTGGGATTGCCAGCTTTTTGTCTCTCTTAGATATCAGCATCTCTTGACCTAAAATCAGGATAGGCAGTCAGTCCTGAGGGAATCTTCTTCAGAACAATATCTTACCATACCCATTATTAATGTAATGTAATTATTAATTGCAATTATGTAATTATCAATGCAATGCTAAATTCAAACTAGGAGTTGTTATAGTTTCTATCATTGTCACTGTGATAAAGCACCTGAGAGAAGTGACTTAAGGAAGAGCTTATTTTTGCTTATGGTATACGTAGGTACCACCCATCATGGCAGGGAAGTTGAGGTGGCTCATGGCAGCAGAAAGTTCAGCTGATGAAAGTTCAGCAGGAGGACAAAATTATATTGAGAAAAATGCTTGTCAAAATGCAGCTCATGCATTTGTGGGATTACAGGGTTGTTTTCTGCATTTAATGTCTATGGATGCAATGGTTTAAATGAGATGACCCCTGTATATTTGAATACTTAGTCCCAAGTTGGTAGAACTGTTTGGGAAGGATTAGGAGGTGTGGCCTTGTTGGAGGAGATATGTCATGGGATGGACTTTAACTTTTTAAAAGCTCATGCCATTCCCAGTGGTACATTTTGCCTGGGCTTGGAGGTGGAGATGTGGGCTCTTATCTACTGCTCCAGCATCATGCTTGGCTGCCTGTTGCCATGTTCTCCTCCATGATGGTCATGGACCCTAATGCTCTGGGACTGTTAAGCCCCAAATTAAATGCTTTATTCTATAAGTTGCCTTGGTCGTGGCGTTTTGTCACAGCAATAGAAAAGTAACAAAGTGCCGGGCGTTGGTGGCACACGCCTTTAATCCCAGCACTCAGGAGGCAGAGGCAGGCGGATCTCTGTGAGTTCAAGGCCAGCCTGGTCTGCAGAGCAAGTGCCAGGAAAAAAAAAAAAAAAAAAAAAAAAAAAAAAAAAAAAAAAAAACTTACAAAGTCAGTGAGTATTATCATAAGAGAATATGTGATCTAAAGTTTTCAACTTTTATTGTAGAACTTGTTAGCTTATATAAAAGTAGGTAGAAAATATGATAATGAATTATTTTGTAACCAGTATACAATTTTGAACAGTTACCAACATTCTGCCATTCTGACTTCATTTATTCTTGACTTCTAAGTTCTGGTGTTATGAGTTTACTTGAATAGCCATACTAACCTGCAGCTCTGGCCTGTCCTCCTCCTTCTCATTATTGTTCCAAGGAACCAGAGTCACACAAGCATTTTGCCTACAGAGAGAGGAGAGAAATACTATTCTTTTTTTTCCTCCATTTTTTAATTTGAATTAGAAACAAGATTGTTTTACATGTCAATCCCAGTTCCTTCTCCCTCCCCTCCTCCCCTACTCCCCAACTAATATCCTACCTATCCCATACCCTTACTGCTCCCCAGGGAGGGTGAGGCTTTCCATAGGGGATCTTCAGAGTCTGTCATATCCTTTGGGATAGGGCCTAGGCCCACCCCTGTGTGTCTAGGCAAAGAGAGTATCCCTCTATGTGGGATGGGCTCCCAAAGAGGCCCCATAGATTTCCAAGGTCTCCTCACTGACACTCACATTCATGGGGTCTGGATCACTCTCATGCTGGTTTCCCAGCCATCAATCTGGGGACCAAGAGCTCTCCCTTGTTCAGGTCAGCTGTTTCTGTGGGTTTCCCCAGCCTGGTCTAGACCCTTTGCTCGTCACTCCTCCTTCTCTGCAACTGGATTCCAGTTCAGTTCAGTGTTTAGCTGTGGATGTCTGCTTCTGCTTCCACCAGCTACTGGATGAAGCCTATAGGATGGCATATAAGTTAGTCATCAATCTTATTATCAAGGGAGGGCATTTAAGGTAGCCTCTCCTCTGTTGCTTAGATTGTTAGTTGATGTCATCTTTGTAGATCTCCAGACATTTCCCTAGTGCCTGATTTCTCTTTAAACCTATAATGTCTCCCTCTTTTATAGTATCACTTATCTTGCACTCTTCTGTTGTTCCTCCAACTCAACCTCCCTGCCCCATCATGTCCTCCTCACCCCTCCTCTTCTCCCCTTCTCATTCTCCTAGTTCCCTCCTCCCTCCCCCCATGCTCCCAATTTGCTCAGGAGATCTTGTCCCTTTCCCTTTCTCCCAAGGACCATGTATGTCTCTCTTAGAGTCCTCCTTGCTTCCTAGCTTCTCCGGCTATGTGTATTGTAGGCTGGTAATCCTTTATGTCTAAAATCCACATATGAGTGAATACATACCATGTTTGTCTTTTTGTTACTGGGTTACCTCGCTCAGAATGGTTTCTTCTAGTTCCACCCATTTGCCTTCGAATTTCAAGATTCCATTGTTTTTTTCCGCTTAAAAAAAAAGGTAATCTTTTATTTAAGCTTCATGAAATCAGAGACTGAAACTGCCTTATTCATTGTTTTCTCTGAGACCTTAACTTTTTTGGCCCAAGAATGGACTTTATAAACTTTGGTTTGATGAAAGGATTAACTTTATCATTCTTTATCAGAGATTCTAAGGCATCTTAAATAGTTCTTGACAGTGCTCTACACCATCCTATACTCTGGTGGATTTCAGTAACAGCAGATCGTGGATATCACCTTTGCTTCCATAAAAGCTGGGGTGAAAATCTCAGGTAGAAGTGCTTCTTAAATAACCAAAGCTAAACGTACAATGCTTTGTTTAAAAAAAGGAAAGAAAAGAAAGGTAGAAAGGGATGGGGAGGGAAAGAAAGAAAGGAAGAAAGGAAAGGAAAAGAAAAGCAGTTCATTTTATAGCATCTAATCCTGTGGCTACCTTCACTGATCAGCCCTTGCAGTTGGATTTCAGACTAAGCACATCCCTGGTGATAAGAAGCTATGTTCTGGTAGTCAAATGAATATGCAGATAACAAAGTAAAAAGCTGTGTATAGGCTAAGTTTTAAATTTTAAGGTATTTTATTTCTAACTTCCTGACTGTGAGTGTTTGTTTCTAGAAAAGTAAGTTCATGCTTACTTTTTTTGTTGTTGTTGTTGTTGGTTTTTTTTGTTTTTTCAAGACAGGGTTTCTCTGTGTAGCTTTGGAGCCTATCCTGGCACTCGCTCTGGAGAACAGGCTGGCCTCGAACTCACAGAGATCCGCCTGCCTCTGCCTCCTGAGTGCTGGGATTAAAGGTGTGCACCACCAATGCCCGGCTCATGCTTACTTTTGTTAGACTGTAGGTTACTCTACGTAACTAAAGCATGGATATTGTGAGGCTGGAAGTTTGCCGGCAGCAGTTATAAATACTTAGATCTTGGGCTGTACAGATGCTCTGAGGTCAGTCTCATGGCTTAGGACTGCTGCTCATATAGTCCATCCAGGTTAGTAGTCTGCTTTTGGCCTATCCTTGACCTGTGTGTCCTTAAGAAAATATTGGATGTTTCTTAGTTACGAACTGCTACTTTGTTTCCCTTGATCCTAACCATTGATGTTTCTATGTTATCTAAATTATATCTATTGATGTTATCATATATAAAAGGAAAATATTAGAGATGTTTGTTTTATTTCATTGTTTTCTGTTATTAACCAACAGGATTCAAATAGTTGGATATTTGGCTGCGTAAACAGCACATCCATGTGGTAAGTCTTTTGAACCACGTGTTCATTTTTCTTAACAAAAACAATGCTCAGAAGTTAAAATTTCAGAATATATATATGTGTGTGTGTGTGTGTGTGTGTGTGTGTGTGTGTGTGTGTGTGTACACATGCATGTGCATATATGCACTCATGTGCACTTGCATACATACACACACACAATACTTTTTTTTCTCTCTTTGGTTTTTGAGATTAGGTCCCATTTTGTAGCCCAGGCTGTCCTGGAACTTACTGTGTAGCTCCTGGCCTGGAACTCACTGTTATTCTCCTGCATCAGCTTCCCCAGTGCTGAGATTACAGACATGAAGCACAGCAGATGGCCAGAAGAGCTTTCTATGCTCATCATGTTTGTTTTGCTGCTGTATCAAATTATAATTTATATATTTTAAATTTTCATTATTGTGTGTGTTGTCCATGTGCATATGTGTGCATCCGTGTGTGTGTTTGTGCTCTATGTGTATATGTGCTCTGTGTGTATGCAGTGTGTGCACATGCATGTTTGTATGTGCTGTGTGTATGCGTATATGTGTGTGTGCATGTGCTCTGTGTGTGTGCAAGTGTGTGTTCATGTCTGTGGGTGTGGGTGTGTGTGTGTGCACGAGTACAGTTGCCATAGCATATGTATAAAGTTTAGAGGACAGCTGTTGAGAGCTGCTTCTCGTTCTTCATTCTGGGTTCAGGCTGTCAAGCTTGCACTGAAGTGCTTTTCCCATTGACTCATCTCACTGGCCCTGATTTTGTTTTTTTAATGAAAATAAAAAGATTTATATACTAACAAAGTTCAAATTTTTTTGAACATTTAACTAATTGATTGTTAGGACAAAACAAATTGTGGTGTTGTTGTTTTGCCTAGGGAGCTTCATGGACATGTATATAAACTACATACTCATCACAACTATACAGTCTCTCATCTCCAGGGCTGCAGATGCTTTTCCCTCTTTACTCATTTCTTTGTAAATTATAATACTTGAACATTTGTCCTCTAATTATCCCTTCACTTTTATTTCAAAGCCGGCAAGGGGTTGATTTATCATGGAAAGCTGAACTGCTGCCAACAATTAAGGTAAATGATAGCTTTAGACTTTTACATTTAGGTTAAAATAATTCAGCTGGTAGATGTTTTAGGATATGCTCTTTTAAAAAGTCTTAGGAGTCTTTTCTTTGGAAGTCTTTTCTTTGGAAATGTTTTTGATGAGGTGTAGCAAACATCTGTGTTTTCAGAGATTAAAAACTGCAAAATGACAACTTGCTGAATCTGTTGCAGCATCATTTACTGAAGGAGACTGAGAGACTTTTAAAATTCTTTTTTTTTTTGAGAATATGCTTAAATGGTTTGTTCTAAACTATAAGCTGGTTAATGTATTCTAATGAGAATTCATTTTGAGAGGAAGGACCTTGCAGTGGGAAGTGAGTATTTCAAGGAGACATTGAGTAGATTTCTAGATTGTATCACATTGTAGTTAAGCAATTGGGTAACTCTTGTATCTAGTTTCCCATGGTGGTAAATCAGAGCATGGTGAATCACTTAATAATTGTTAGTGATTTTCCTAAGTGACTCCGGTAAGTTAGCAAGTCTTTAAAAAAAAGACTAATTTGTATATTCTCAAAATCTATTGTGGAAAATGCAAAATAAGTCTGTAATTTGATAAAAATATCTGTTCTAATTTCCAAACTGTGTTTATTATAATTTACAGTCTCATCTGGGTTTTGTGGTTTCAGTTTTCAAGTAAATCCATACCTTAAAATAAAACATGGTTTTCTAATGAACTCAGACTTGAAACAGAAGACATCTGGCTGGTCCCAGTCCTCTCCCATTGGTACCAATTGAGTTATTTTTTTCTCAAGGATACTTATTTCTTTATTGAGGGAACAGTACTGGGGGCTGTCCTCCAGTCATGTTTGCCCTGCCTGAGTCACACCATCAGCCTTTAGCTTTTTGTTTTTGAGGTGGGGGAGATGTCTCAGCAAGTATACATGCTGCCCTTGAATTCCTTTATACCCCAAGTAGGCTTTGGACACACATTCCTGCCTTAGTTGCCTGAGTGGCTGGAACGTTCATTTGTTTCAACAGTTAACTCTGTCTTAATTGTACTGTCAGGCAGCAACTTTAAAAGAAGAATGATGCCAGAGGAATATTCACTTAAAAAACTTTGGTTGTGGGTTTTTGTTTGTTTTTTGCTTTGTTCATTCTTTGTATGTATTCATTTGGAAACAAATACCATTTGTATTTGTAAGACAAATATATAATAAAGAAGCAATTTTACTCAATAGTGTCTTGAAAACAAAATCTATCCTTGGGTCTTTCCTAATCTTCCAGGCAAAAGCAAAACAAACAGAAGTTATTAGGATTGATGTAGAAGTGTATTTCATTCTCTTGAGATACAATGAGTATTCCCTTAAATTTCCAACTTGGAAATTCTACCCATTCTATAATTTCAGGAGAAATGGATGACTAATGACCTTCTAAAACATACTCTGCCTCTGTATTTTAAATGCATTTTTTACCTGGGTGTGGTGTACACCTGTAACCCAGTGTCCAGGAAGCAGAGGCAAGGAAGATTACTGAGCCTTAGAGTCAGCCGGGCCTCTGTATCATGAAAACTTTCCCAAAAAACTTATTTAAGTTTCATAAGTAAATACTGTTTTTATAAATCTACAAAGACTGAAAAATGTGTTTACCAAATGGTAGGCTCGTGTTTATTCTTAACTTAGGAATCAAGTGTCTGGGTAGCCAGAAAACAAGCTGTTCCAGCTGTCTGCATTTTTTTTTTTTTTTTTTTTTTTTTTTTTGAAACAGGGTTTCTCTGTATTGTTTTGGAGCCTGTCCAGGAACTTGCTCTGTAGACCAGGCCAGCCTCAAACTCACAGAGATCCGCCTGCCTCTGCCTCTGGAGTGCTGAGATTAAAGGCATGCGCCACCAATGCCTGGCACAGCTGTCTACCTTTTAATTGTGATTTCTGGAAGAGAAGACTACAGTATTCTTCAGTTTTAGGTCTCTTAGTTTTAAGATAATATTAAACACAAACTTTCCCATTATACTAAAATATTTTATATAATGTGTTAGTGATTTTTAAGTAGCACAGTTTTGTTCTAAACCATAAAAATGAAGGAATAAAACAAAAGTGTGGTGGCTCATGCTAAATGTGTTACACAGGAAGTTCAAGGCCAGCCGAGTTTATTAATAGGAACCTTGTTTCCAAAAGTTAATAATGAATAAATAACAAACTGGGATAGGCCATCATGAAGGCAAGCATACTTTTTTTAAAGGAAAAAAACAATGTTTCTTGAGACTTAACAAAGATCTAGTATTCCTCTAAGTTTTTCCCTGAATAAAAACTTCCTGCAAGGTCTCAGGCTGACACTGTTTTCTTAGTAACACCTGTGTGACCAGCGTTGCAGTTTTAGGGATCACTGTCAGATGTTGCTTTCATTTCCTTAATCAGGAGAACATTATGCATTCAAACCAGGCAGTAACTTCAGTGTAGCCCTTTCTCTTCATCATAGGCATACAAATAAAGAAACGTGATGAAATGATTAAGTGAAAAATATTTTGTAGGTTGTATGCATATTAATGTCAGCTGAACAAAGGTAATGTCATGAAAATCGTCACTCTGAGGCACCTACACTGACTGTGCTTTAATAAATGGGTAGAGTCCTCCAGTACAGCACCTCAAATTCTAAACTGTCACTACTGAGAATCGTGCTTAGCAGATCTTAGAGCTGATTGCTGCACAGAACAACTCAGTTCTTCCTAATTGACTGTCTTTCATGCTCTCTACCCAGCTGCCTATAGCTGTAAATTATGCGGCACCTTTAGCACTATTTAGTTTCCATTAAGACATCAGAGTTTGTTGCTTAGCTGGATTCTGGTCAGGCTGTTAGATACTTTCTCGTTTTTTTTTTTTTAACTTCTGCGCCTCTGTCCTATTTGCCCACATTGGCGTTTTCTGAAAGAGAGTGAAGAAAACAAATGTCTTTAGAAACTTCTTAATGTACACATATTATATTCATTCCAGTTCTGTATCTACTTCCAGAAATAAAACTGGATTGAAAACTGTGCTTGGAATCTCGACAATTATTAAAAAGACTAGTCTCCAACCTGTCTATTCCTTAAATATGGACTATAAAATCTGGTTTTAACTTTTATGTAGCAGAACAAATTATAGTTGTTCATTTGGAGAAATGCAATTAGCTATGTGTCTGTCATGTACTAAATAAATTTTATTGGATGGTATTTATATACTAGCCAGTAACCCTTTGGTACTTTAAGTCAAGAATCCTTGGGGATTAAGTTGTAGCTTTTCCATTACATTTAGCAACTTTTGAATGCTCTTTGTCATTTGCTACCATAAATATAGAAATAATTGCTATAATGCTCTCTGTACTAGATAGCCAAATTATAAAAATAAGCACACCACATTTGGGAATAACTGTATAAATTCATTTATGTTAAGCATCATTTGTTTTATCTGGAAATATTTCAAGGGATATTTTAGATGGTTTATATTTAACAGTAGTTACTCTGAATTTGTTGTTTTGTAGGATTATTGACCTGGGAATGTAAATGCTGATATAAATTTGAATTGTGTGTGTGTTTTTGTGGGGGTGTGGAGATATTAAGTGAGTGATTTAAGAGATGATTTTTAAAATAACTCTTGGAGAAATATGTTTTTATAATTTTTTTGACATGCCCTCATCTCTGCCTCAGAAATAAAGTGACTTTTGTGTCTCCACTTTTACTTTCAGTCTCTGACATTAAGGCTTCAGGACTATCCATACTTGTCGCATATTGTTGTTTTTGTGCCATCTGTCCATGGAAGCAAGGTAACAGATATCTTAAGGTTTTTATTGGAATGCATGGAGGGTACACGTGTGAAACTTTATTTTTTAAATGATTTCTGAATAGGTTCAGGTTTATCTAAAATGATGGCCAGTGTGGTGATCCACTGATGTTAAGTCATCAGAATGTCCACCCACTTTGAACTAAGTAAATTAAATACCAATCTTTTTGTGCCTAACTGGCTGCTGTTTGTCAGTCTTTCCAAACTGTACTTGCTAGGTACCGTTTTTATGTACACAGCATTGGGAATTAATAGGAAATATAGAAAGGACCCTCTATCATTTGTCATCCTGTTGTGTAAGGAGGAAAAAGAGTAACATCAGATAATGAGAAAACACAGATTTTTTTAAAATACACAGAATACAAGTCAGCGTACAGTAGGTCCATGGAAAGTGCAAACTACAGTAATATCACTGAGGAATTCACAGCGGCTTTATCAGAGGTGAGGGCCAATGTAGTGATGGTGAATGGGGTGACAATGAATGGCCTTAAGGAAGATTTAAGGACCTCTGTGGGAAACAGTAATATTCTAGATCAGTTCTGTCAAGCCCCAAGTTACTACCATGTGTGGCTATTTAAATTTACTTTAACCAAAATAAAATAAAAATCCAAATTTCAGTCTGTTTGTACTATATACATTCCAGAAACCTAGTAATAACATGGTTATAAAATTTGTAATTAACAGTTCTCTAAAACAAAAAACAAAACAAAACAAAAAACAGTGAGTGTGAGAAAGCATGGTGTGGAAATTAGTAAGTTAATAATTTTGAAAGGCTGCTGCCAGGTATAGAGTACCAGTGGGCAGAAGTGGAGAAAACTGCCCTTGGCAGTGTTGTGGAATCCCTCATTGAAGCCATGAACAGAAGGCAGTGGGAGCCATAGCACCACTTCAGGGGTTTCAGGGGCTTTAGTAGTGAGGTGGGAGTAGGAATGAAAGGTTGAGGATTTACAGGGAAGAAAGTGTAGAGGGGAGAAGCCCCTGTTCTCCTCCTTTCTCCTTTAGACCAGCAAGTATACCCTTCAAGGTCCAGCCCAAGTGTGGCTCGCTTCCTTTCCCACACTGCTCCAACAATTTGTGTGATACTTTCTGATGACTCTTGGAGGAATATTCATATTACTTTACATTTTAAACTACTTACTAATATCTTTATTGTTGTCAGCATACTGTAAGCTCTGCGATTAACAACCAGATACATTTCCCCCCACTTTGTACCTCCAACCTGTAGTGATGACCATATTAAACAAACAAAAATGTAAAGTTTTTTCAATGAGAAATTGATGAGATTTGTGATCAAAATAATTAGTGAAATTTAGAAGAAAGTAGGAAAGGAAAAGGGGTGTGGCTGCAGGTCATCTTGAAGACCGGTCTCACAGTTCTTGTATGGAGTCATTGTTTTGTTTTGTTTAGCTCAAGGGAGAGTTAGCTCATCATCTTAGGTACTAAAAGCTCTCTTTAAGGGTTTTCCTGTAGGTAAGTTGGTTGTGAATGAATCTGACATCTTAAAGGCCTTTTCTGGTTATACTGAGAAATCAGTGAGCATCTGTAAATAGACAGTTGTGGCAGATGGATACATACATATAATACGTCTTAGTACTCTTTGGCAAGTAGCACTGTTCGCTGTGCTGTTGCTTGCTCTCTCCACTGGAGTGATCATTTAGACCTTTGATTTCTGCACATCTGTACACAGCCCAGCATCAGAAAGCTGCATACAAAAAGTGCAGTCAACAGATAGCTTTATGATTTGGGAACTACAGTGTGGAACCGGCTGCATTTACCCCCATGATCAAAAACAAACAACAAGCCTAGAAACTGATGAACTTTGGAAATTTTAGAGAGAGACCTTTGGGTTCTGCCTTTCTGGGTTAAGGATTTGTTTCATTGTGCAAAGCTAAGAGCACCGCCAAATTTTGAAATTAAAAAAAAAAACCAACTATTATTTTAAATTCTTTTAGATAAAATGATTGAAATTTCTTTTAAAAACTACTTCACTATCTCATGAGTCACCCAAAGCACTTTGTCAAAATATGAATAATCCTGGTCAATAAATTATTTCTAGTCTTTGAGTAGCTGCTTTCTGTAGTGGAAGGATTTGTTATTTGGCTTGTGAGAAGGAATGAAGATAAGCAAGTTAGCACGGTGGTTTTTCTTTCTGTGCACCACACATGCAGACAAGTCTAATAGAAGTCTCCTTCATCTGTTTTCCAATTTCAAAAAAAAATTGGCAGAACATCTGTGGGCAAAGGAATAACATAGCCAAGATATGAAAGGTGCAGTTGTCACAAAAGCCTAGGATGGACTCTGGTGGCATTCCAGAAACTATCCCTTCTGTATATAGCCAAAACAAAGCTTCCTACACATGTCTAGAAATGTTACTAAGAAAAAAAATGTTGTCAAAATAAAAATTGTAGTGGCATGCCACATTCTAGGTTTCCTTTTGTGAAAAGCACACTTGTCTAAGTGAGAACACATTTTTCCATTTTCTGTAATAACTGGCTGATCTGTAATATTCTCATAAACACATTAGCTATAGATGTGTGTAAATGAGTGACTGACTACAAATGCCTTTTATAGCCTGTTTAAACTATAGATACTTAAAAACTACTGGATTTAATAAAAAATAATAAGTAACAAAATTACATTTCCCTTTTGACTAGGAAAGTACTCAGAGACATATAAATCCTTAATTAATCTTAAATTATCTTTGCTTCTCAGTGCTTTGATCTACCCTTCTTCTGAAACACCTGATGTTGTAATAAAACTTTGCAATTAATTTGTTATAAAAACTGCCTTCAGATAATTTATTATATTTGATTAAGAAATTGCATACCTCGTCTTCTCAGCCTAGCATCTGCTTGAGGGATTCTTGCCAGAGCTATAGTATAATCAGTGGTGCTTTCTCCAAAGCTACGGTTTATTTTCCACACAAACATCAAGATTTTTACTAAGGTGAATTCTGTATTTTCTAATAAATCAATGTCATATCTCAGTTTGTCGTAGACTGTGAATTCTTTAAAAAAGAATTGAGATCCATACCACTTCCTGTGACTCATCTTTTTTCCTTTGGTAAGTATTTTGTTTTTGAAGCTTAAGCATAGCTTTTAGCAGTGCAATTTATCTTGCCAGTCATAGAATATTAAATATTAGTATGCCTCAAGTCTAGTTCTTAGGAAACTATATGGTCAGGTTCAGTGGGCCAGCAGTCAGTTTCCGAGAAGTGAACTTAGAAGGGATGTTTCTTAGTTACTTTTCTATTGCTGTGGTAAGACCATGACCAAGACAACTTATAAAACAGAGAATATGACTAGAGGTCATAACGGCACAGCAAAGGCATGGAGGGTGGAACAGCTGAGAGCTCACATCTTGACCTCAAAGAAGGAGGCAGAGAGAGACTGGAAATCACAGGTGGCTTTTGAAACCTCAAAGCCTGCCTACCTGACATAATTCTTCGATCAAGATCATGCCTCCTAATCCTTTCCAAACTGTTCCTCCCACTGGGACCATAGTATTCTAACACATGAGCCACTGGGGGCCATTCTCATTCCAAATCAACCCTGTATTTTTTCATAATTATATAAACTTGCAGTAACCAAGTACTTCTTTCTGTATATATAGAATACTATGTGAAATTTTTACTAATACTGGCCCTTTTATAATTTTTTTTCACAGAACAATCTTTGATTTTTATTACTTAAACAAGCCTCCTTTATTTCTCTTTCTGATTCTGTACTTGTGCCTTCAGCACTGTCATAGTGGTTTTTCTGCTCATCAATAGGAAATCACATGGTTCTGTCATGGACACACAGTCTATCTAAATTGTTGTCTGACTTATGAATGTTTCATGACTATATGTTACTAGTTTTTTATGTGTATGGGTGTTTTGCCTGCATGTATGTGTACCATGTGTGTGCAGTGCCTGTAGAAGCCAGAAGAGGGCATCAGATCCCCTGGAACTGTACTTAGCGATGGTTGTGAGCCACTGTATCATTGTTGGGAATGGATTGGACCGGTCTTCTGGAAAGCAGACAATTCTGTTAGCCATTGAGCCATCTCTTCATCCCCCAATTAAATGTAATTGCAAGCTTTATTTTGAAAGCATTTTACTCCCACAGTTGCTACAAAAGAGTACAAACTTCCTTTATATCCTTTACCGATCTTTTTCCCTGATATTGACCTCTTTCATAAATATAATGCTTTATTTTCTGTTTTTTCTGTTTCTTTGTTTCTTTTACAGTGGCTTGCTATGTAGCTCATGCAGGCTGGCCTTAAAACTTGTGACTCTCCTGCTTCAGCCTCCTGAGGGATAGGGTTTTAGAACCTTCTATACCGTGTTTGCTAACACAATTTTTTTTCTTATTTTAATTATCTGTATGTGTGTGTATCTGTATCTAGGCATGTGTACATGAGTGTAGATGCCTGCTGAGGCTAAAGGGGTTGGATTCCCTTGGAGGTGGAATTAGTTGTGATCTGGGTGCTGGGAATGGAACTCAGGTCCTCTGCAAGAGCTGTGTGTGTTCTTAACCACCAAGCCATTTTCAGCTCCACAATGGAGTTTTAAATCTAAATTAGTGTTGGTACAATATCTAATAACCTAACCACGCCTCATTTATTTCTAGTTTTGCTTCTGGTTTGGTTGTGTTTCTTGTAACTCATGTTAGTACCTCAGTCTTCCCGTGGCCTCTATCACTTTGAAACATTTCAAGGATACTCAGTAACTTGTAGAACATCCTTCATTTGGATTTGTTTAATACTGTTTCATATTCAGGTTTAGCTTATGTATTTTTGCCAAGAATACCATAGAACTCATGTGCCTTCCTTGTATGTCAGGATGTGCAATGTTAATAAATCTAGTTACTGTGGTGTTAATTTTGACATTTGGTTAATTAAGGTGGTACCTGGCAGATTTCTCGACTGTGCAGTTACTGCTTTTCCTTTACCATTGATAAATATCTTGGAGGAAAATTTTGAAAAATATGCAACTCATAAATTTTAGCATACAATGAACCACTTATTCTTTAGCAAGTAATTACTATTTTATTCTCCCTTTATTGGAAATAAGTACTTGACTTTTAAAGAATACCATCAGCATCAGGAAGTATTATGAGTACTGTTTTATTCAGCATTTTCTGTATGAGAATTTGATATATATGAAGCAACTGCTTCGTATCAGCAGTGAAATCTGTTAACTTATGTTTTAGACAGTCTGCCTTGTAGCCCAAATGGCTTCAATTCAGCATGCAGCCTCAGCTGGCCTTAAGCTCGTCACCCCCACTCATACATGACCACACCAAGTTCTGTCATACATGACCACCACTAACAGACTTTCTCCTAATTTCAAAGTTCCATTGTTAATTTTAAATGTTATTGAAGCAATCAGCCCAGTTTTGAGAATTCTCTGTTTTCTAAATAATGCAGTACTTTTAATTCAACAGGACTGTCTTCAAGGAAGGCGATATTAAATGCAAATGGCCTGTACTACACTTTAGAACTTCAGAACTTTGCACAGGTAATTACTGTGAGTAGAAAAGGAAGAATTTCATCTTCTTTTGCTATTTCATCAAACAAATAAACTTTGGGTTTTTGTCTTTGTCAAACTTTATCAGATATACCAAGCTTTTAAAGTCAACGTGGTAAGCAAGTGCTCTGGAAGCAAAGGTAAGTTTATAACATGACATTTGAAGAGCAAGGAAGTTGCTTTGACATTTCTAGAATACTTATTTCATTTCTTTTCTTTCATATATTTTATATGAAGTAAATTTTAGAATACTTATTTCATTTCTTTTCTTTCATATATTTTATATGAAGTAAAACTAAATACATGCATTGGAAAATATTTCTGTTTTCAAGGGATTTAGCATAGATACTTTCTTAACAGTAAACCATATTTATGTGTTTAAAAGTACTATATATTTTGGGATAGGTGAGATGTCTCTGCAGATAAAGACCTGATCTCACTTCCCACAACCCACAGAAAGGTGGGAGGAATGAACGACTCCATGAAATCTCTCTGACTTCCACACAACCCTGTGTGCTCACACGCAAGCATTATACACAAGCACAATAGGAACCATAATATTTTAAAAAGTTAGAGTCCTGTGGATCTTTATGTCTTCTTACAGTAACAATTCAGGTTTACCTTTAATTTTTGTTTTAGCTTTTTAATACTACTCATATACCTTAATATCTTTTATGAGCCTGGCATTCAATAATCCTTTCTCATATGCTATGACCCACACTGATCTTTTTGTTTATATGTAGTAGTTTCTTTATAGTTTGTGTACAAGTTAAGGTAACACACAATAATGCTTCTCCCCTTTGTTTCTTAACAGAAGAAATAACTAGCATCTATAAACTTCATGTTCCCTGGTCTTATGAAGATTCTCTAACCATTGCACAGTAAGTATATGAAAGAATTTACTTTAAACTTGGGTGTTTCAAAGTAGAATCTGTGCTTAGTTTGTCATATGCATTATTAAAGTTCCCTTTAGTACAATGTATGTGACCCTTAATGCCATGCCCATTGCTTAAGATACATGTACAGTATCTATTTAAAGAATCAAGCACTTAAGTCTTGCTTGAAAATGAAATCTTTTTCAATTTACTTTTATTTAAATTAAAACAATCCCCCCTTCCCAATCCCCCATCCACTCCCCATGGCTGATCTTCAAAGTCTGTCACATTGTTTTGGGGAGGATCTAGGCCCTCCCCTGTGTATCTAGGCTGAGGAGTATCCCTCCATAGGGAATGGGCTCCCAAAGCCCATTTGTGCACTAGATAAATACTGGTTGCACCGCCAGAGGCCCCATAGACTGCCCAGGCCCTCCTACTGACACCCACGTTAAGGGCCTGGTTCAGTCTTATGCTGGTTCAAAATAAAAAAAAAGAAAGAAAGAAAGAAAGAAAGAAAGAAAGAAAGAAAGAAAGAAAGAAAGAAATGAAATGAAATCTTACCTTATCTCCACCATTTCCCAAGTGCTAGAGGGAGCAGCCAAGTAACTGACGGGAACGAAAGTGTCCACTCGTGATACTGCATCTTTCATTTATCATCCTCTGCATTAGTTCATTATGTTGTGCTGAGAATTGGTTAGGCAGGGCTATTTACCGGCATTTTACATTTGACGATTGATATTTCAATAATCTCTTCAGGGTTCCGTCTTCCACAGAAATTTCTCTGAAACTTCATGTTGCTCAGCCGGATAATGTCAGCCATGTGGCATTGTTAAAAATGTATACATCGTCAGAATGTCAGTATGAGGTAAGACATACATTTGCATCATTAAGTATGGTTTATTTATAGACAAATAGAGGGTTTTTTTTTTTTTCTGTTAGCTGCAGATACATCACGATGTGGAAGCCCATACATATGAGAAATTAAGCTTAAACATTTTCCACTTTGCTTCTTTACCATATTTCAGTATTTCTGTAAACAGACTGTTTGAACATGTGAGCATTATATAAAAGAAGAGGAAACTTATTATTCTAAATCTTAAATTTATTAAAAGGTTAGTCTAAACTTTGAAGCCTAGAATCAAGACTCTTTCATAAATTGAAGGGCTTTTGTTTAATTAGCTGCCATGCTTTCCTGTAGTACTAGACATGGTGCATGCTGGTTTGTCCCAGTACTGGTTAGTGTAAGGATCTCGACGTTTACTAATTTTTAAAGTCTATGTGCTTTTCAATGGTGATGTTACCACTCTGTCTTATGTGAATTATCTTATTCCTGGTTGGCCTCCCTAAGTGTTTGGATTCTGTAATAGGAATAACTTCATTAGGGTAAAATACAAGATAGCAGACTGGTGCCATCTGGTCTCATGACAAAGTTTCAGATGCACCTATATAATGAATTAATTTGTATCTCATGGATGATATTTTGTAGTCTGTTTCTAACAGTGAGGGATATTGCATGTCTACTGTGTTTTTCAGTTTACAACTTTGTTTTTCTAATATTAAAATGGTAAGGGTTGTGCTGCCTTAGGAGACAGAAGCAGGTGGATTTATGTGAGTTTGAGGCCAGCCTGGTTGACATAGTGAATTCTAGGTGAGCCAGGACTCCAAGGTAAGAAACTGTCTCAAAAAAAAAAAAAAAGAAAGAAAGAAAGAAAGAAAAGAAAAAAGAAAAGAAAAAAAAATGTGCTATCAACTTGGCTTCAAAAACTACATGCTTGCTAAATGTCCATTTTTTTTTTGAAAATCAATATTGGTATTTTCAAGAAGTCTATATTTTAGCAAGACACAGCCATGTTGTATATAACTGTTATAACTTCCTTACAAAAAGTTTCCTAGATTTCTTAGTATCTAATATATACTAAGAACGAGTTTCTTTCATAAATGTTATTTTGATTTACATTATTTTAACAACATGATTTCTTCATAACATATTGTGGTTAATTAGATATCCTAGTTAGTAAAGCTTTGCCACCCACACACCAAAGCATTCATCCAATTGTTGAGGAGGAAGTATACTAAAATATATACAGAATAGTAAACTATACTATAGACAGTTAATGTGATGCTGTAGGATGTTCTTGTTTAATTGTTCAAAAATTTCCATAGTGAAAAGATATGCAGAAGTACTCAATTTAATAAAACATGAAATGAGTTTAAGAAAAATAATCTTTTTAAAATAATTATTTTATACTAGGTGACAATTAAGACTTCCTTTCCACAAATACTTGGACAGGTAAGAGAAATTTAATGCAAGTTGTGATTTGGAAGGGATTTTAATGTTTCTCAGTAAACCAGTAATTTTTTAAATAGTATCACAGATACTAGTCATTATTATTAGAACCTGCAGAGTTGTACATTAAGACAGAGAAATTAATATAAATTAATATAACAAAAGTGTTATTGCTGCTTTGAGTTTTTGAATTTTGTATTTTGTGTGTCACATATACTATTTTCTTGAATCATAAGAAAATAAGTTAGTATTGATAATTTTGTAGTTGGTCATGATTGTAATTGAATTCTTAAAACTGAGTTACAAACATTTTTGTAGGCATTATCTCATTTGAACCCTACAGCAACCTTTTGAGAATTAGATTTTAATTATTGTAAAGTTTGGAAACATAATAGCATTCAGTTAATATATGAATATTTCTTATAAATCATGAAGAAACAATTAAATTCTAGTTTGAGTTATAAAATAGCATCATAAATACTTAAAAATTTATAGAGTTAAGGAACCAATTAAAAATTATTTCCTGTAATACAAAATAATTCCTGATCTTACATTTCCAAAGTATGCAAAAGACTAGTCACTTAAATAGCTTAGAAAGGTGGATATTGGCTCTTATCCGTGTCCCCATGGCCATATTTCAGATTAGTGATGAGAAAACTCAAGTTACCTTAGTATGCAATAATCAAAGACAATTATACCAAAAGAAGACAAAGTAATATTTATGTTTAGATATAGAAATTTTTCTAAAAAGTAAGATTGTACTAGTGTCTCAAGATCAAAGGTCTGTACTTTTTAAAATGTCAAATAAAGAACTTGTGTTAATTAAGTCCAAAATTACAAAATGGAAAAGCATATGGTTTTCTTCATCCTTAATTATTTGGCTTGTAGATCTAGGAGAATGAACTCCTGTGTAGTGTATCTGAGTAATTTGATGTATGTGTATTTTTAGATTTATTCCTTAAATTAGCACATAAAGCATTATGACATTTTCAAAGTGTTTTAGTAAATTCTTCTTTCCACTTAACTCCCCCTGCCCTCCCTTAACTCTCCCCCTATCTCCTTTCCATTGTTGGGGGGAGGGGAGGGGTTTCTGCAAACACCATGGCCAGCAGAGTGAGGCAAGGTGGATATCTGGTTCACCATGACTCAGTGAACAGTTTGGGTTCGAACTTCTGGAGTCCATCACTGTGTAGTTTATTTTAGGCCTATTTAAGGGCAGTACAATTTGGAAAAAACTTTCTTGATGATAGTGAACTCAACCCTGTGTGTACAACAAAAGCTTAAGACATGACTACAGCAGCAATCTTGTAAGGTACAAGTAACATCTTCCATAAAGATAGGTTCTCTGGATAAACTGAGGAAGCAGGCTCAAGGTAAACAGTGCTCCTGGTGAGGGATGGGGATGGGGTAGGGGAACAGAGCTCTAGACTGACTGAGAAACATGAGGCTCTGGGGGTGGGGGGGACAGAGCTCTAGACTGACTGAGATAAACATGAGGCTCTGGGGGGAACAGAGCTCTAGACTGACTGAGAAACATGAGGCTCTGGGGGACAGAGCTCTAGACTGAGATAAACATGAGGCTCTGGGGGGGAACAGAGCTCTAGACTGACTGAGATAAACATGAGGCTCTGGGGGAGGCAGTGTGGCCTGGCTGCACAAATAGTGCGGAGGTCACCAGGCCATTAACCACATCCTTTCCCAGCCTTCTCTCCCTTTGATGAGACATGTTTAACACTCCTGGTTTCCCTAGTGCTCATCTGTGAGCACAAGGCCCTCCGAGTCTCCTACACATTTTCATGTCACATGTGCCCTTATGCCCTCTCTCTCCTCCTCAGCACCTGCTTTGCCTCTTGGTTTCCTTTTTAGTTTTTTCAGTTTGCACCTGTTTATATGCATGCACATATACACAAGCTAAGATCTGCATATGAAAAGGAATGTGCTTTTTTTGAGTTTGTGTCACCTTGCTATATTTCTAGATCCATTTATTTTCCTGCAGATTTCATAATTTCATGTTTGTAATCGAATGAAATCTTATTATATATATGTAATATATACATATTTCAAATGTATGTAATGTGCCACTTTCACTACCCACTTATTTGTTGATGAGCTTGCTCTGTCCTCCTGGATGGAGCAGCAGTAAGCATGGGTGTACAAGTTTGATGCCATTCTTTTTCTAATTTTATTAATTAAATTTGTTCTTGGACAGTTTCTGATTACTCCCACTACCACCACCATTACTCACTAACCATCTCCATCTTCCCTACAAATCTCTTTCTCATGTTTCTCTTTGTTTTAGTTTGTGACCCACAAGGTTGAGCTAGAGCCATCTGTATGACCATGGGTTTGGAGTTTTCCATTATAACCTTTTGGAGTTACCTCTGGGTACACAATATAATACCTTCTCCTCTTCCAGAATCTATAAGTAGGCAATAGTTCAACAGTAAGAGGTAGGGCCCCATGACCACCACCACCCCCACAACTAACAGGGCCATTCTTGTATGAGCCAAGAACAGTAATCACTGCTGCTGAGTTCATGATTGCAACCATTGTGTCATGTCTGGAAGATGGCAAGACACCCCCACTTCTTCCTGCCTTTCAGCTCTTACATTCTTATTCCCTCCCCCTTCTACAGTGTTCCCCGAGCCTTATAAGGAATGGCATGAGTGATTTATTTAAGGCTGGGCCCACAATTATCACTTGGTCTCAGTATCTTGGGCAGTTGTGAGACCGCATTCACCGCTATCTGCTGCACTTTCGGACTAAAGCCAGGAGTGGCTTCTTCTGTCCTTGATATAAACATAGATTTAGAAGGCAGCTTGATGCTATGTTGTTTCGATAAATTTTTCCGCCAAAAGCCGCCCGAATTCTACCGCCACATGGGTAGTCTCTGCCAGCCGCCTGAGTTCTGCCTGCCGAGTGGATGGACAAAATAATACAGAGACATATTAGGTACAAAGCTGCTTGGCCAATGACTAGGATTCTCATCTGTTAGCTCATCTCAATTATCATAAATCTATACATTTTATAAGACTTATCTTATTGGACGCCTTATTGGCGTCCCTCGCCGGTGGATCACATTGCTCCACTGGAGGAAGAGCAGAGGAAAAAAGGGACCCTTCCTGTTTCTCCTTCGCTTAAATGTGACTCTCCTTGCTATGTCACTTCCTGCCTGGATCACCACTTCTCTACTACATTTCTCAGAATCCTCTTTGACTCCTAGTCCCATCTAACTTGCTGTCTCATTGGCCAAACAGTATTATGTCAGTTTTATTAAACAACAGTAGTAGTAAGTTCTCCCTTTGGGCCTTTGACCTTCCCAGGTATGGGTTGTCTACTGCTTTTACAGTACCCGGCATAGATAATTCCTTTCTGTAGAGTGGACCCCAAATCCAGTCAGAGGTCAGTTGGCTGACCCCAAAACAACCATGCCATTGCCAAAATGGGTTGGTTTGTAGTTAATTGACTTACAGCCAGAAGAGACCACTGGTGCCTTTTCTTTCCTGGGTTCTGGCATCACATCTTCTGGTACTAGAAAGTCAGTCAGCAGAGAGAAGTTTCTGCTCAGTTCCAGTCTGCTGTCTTTGTATCTTGCAAGCATGATATCTTCAACATGGGACATATTCTCTAGTTCTGGTGGATAACTAAAAGAACAGATGAGAGCATTTATTTGGGGGTCCTCTGGGACCTCACTGACCAACAGCTCCTATGGAGATGTCCCATATCCAGCATTGGGCCCTTGGTTTAGTGGTCTCCTTTCAGTCTTTCTCTCTCTCTCTCTCTCTCTCTCTCTCTCTCTCTCTCTCTCTCTCTCTCTCTCTCTCTCTGTGTGTGTGTGTGTGTGTGTGTGTGTTTTAATTGGGTTTTAAGATAATAAGTTTCTATATGATTGTTTTAGGTATGCTTCATTTGGTTAGTCCCCTCCCCCTCTTCCACCAGAACCCCCTACCCATTCCCTACTTAAACCTTCCCACCCCGGAATTCTCTCTACTTTCCTCTTTATCTGTGTTTTGCTGTCCCTCTTCCTCTATGACATCATACCAACCAATGTCCCATGCACACACACACACACACACACATACACACACACACACACACACACGAGAGAGAGAGAGAGAGAGAGAGAGAGAGAGAGAGAGAGAGAGAGAGGAAGAAGAAGAAGAAGAAGAAGAAGAAGAAGAAGAAGAAGAAGAAGAAATGGAGATGATTTAAGAGTAACCACTTAGAGAATTTTCAGCCTTTGAATAGATGATATTTTTCATAAAATTTTTTTTCTGGAAAAAAGATTACATCTTTAGAATATTCATCTGAAAGAGGATAAGCAGTAATATACAAATTACTTTCCTGGGAAAGTAATTCCATAAGCTGTAGTCACCGCAGAAAGGAAATCCAGTGTTGTGTAATCTTTACATTTTAAGGGAAACTAAAATCTAGGTTTTAAGGTTTTCAGTTTTTCCCTGTTGACATATACTTCAGATTTTAAGGAAACACTGTGCTAAGTTCTAAGTCAAATGTAGCATGTCTACAGTTTAACTCTGAAGACCAATTTCTGACTGCTGATGTAGTACCTTACGGGGACAGCTGTATTCAAACCTAGTATAGCATGCTTCTAACAATGGCCCTTTGTCATTAAAAAGAAATCTTGTGTTCAGAACATACTATAGGACTTTATCCTGGATTCTAGAGACAGTTACGGATGTTCATGATGGATAACAACTACCATTTTCAGTCACTTGCCTGTGTCAGTTACCATTACAAGTAGTAGCATGATGTAGATACACTTAATGAAGCCTCTCATTCCGTGAGGTAGATGCTGTTCAACCTATGCTGCTGCTGATGTTTAAAGGTCACAATGTTTTGCACAAGAACATACAGCTCAGTGGGAAGTAACGCTGGGCATAGCTGTGAGCCCAGCAGACTGCTGAACTTCACTGCCATATTCTACACTGCTAAGTTCAAGTGATCCTACTGTCTCAACCTCCTGTGTAGCCACATGCAAGCATTCCCTCTGCCCTGTATAGCTGAGGGGTTCTTTACATTTTCCTTTAATGGCATTAGCAAGTAGTGACTATTAAGTTAATTGGCTGAAAAATGGCCTTTTCCATTTTATTTGTTTTTCTTCTCCTTCCACTAAAACTATAAATTGAGCATGGGTTATACATTTAAATTTTTTCCCTGCTGGGCATTGGTGGTGCACGCCTTTAATCCCAGCACTCGGGAGGCAGAGGCAGGAAGATCTCTGTGAGTTCGAGGCCAGCCTGGTCTCCAGAGCGAGTGCCAGGATAGGCTCCAAAGCTACACAGAGAAACCCTGTCTCAAAAAACAAAAACAAAAACAAAATTTTTCCCTAATCTCTTTTGACTTGGAAGTAACTTCCCTATCAACATTTCTAACTGCAGAAGGCTAGTGGTCTCTGAACCTAAACTTATTGTGTCTGCTAAATAGGGTGAGACTCCTTCATAAGACTTGGGGGGATGGGACATAAGATGATACATGTAAAGTTCCCGAAACACTAATGTTTGGCCGATAGCCAGTAGAGGCAGGAAGATAGGTAGGACTAGGAAGACTAGGAGAATTCTGGGAAAGGTAGGCAGAGAGAGACTGCAAAAGAGACACCATGTAGCCAAGAAAGGAATAACAGGCCCAGACCCTTCTCTGGTAAAATAAGACCACATGGAAATACTTAGATTAATAGAAATGGGTTAATAATTAAGAGAGAGCTAGCCAGTAAGAAGCCCTAGCTATCAGCCAACAGTTTTGTAATTAATATAGTATCTGTGTGTTTATTTTGGGGCAAAGCAGCTGTGGGACCTGGTGGGACAAGAAACTCCAGCAACAGAAGACCCTGAGCATTTTGAAGTTTTACACACTCTTTTGTGTTAGGCTTCAACTTCCATAGGCTGTATCAGGTTACAAGACAGTTTATGTATTAAAAGGACTCCATGGAATGGAGAATAACTTAAAGGTAAATTAGTTTTAACATTAAGAGAAGTACTTAATGTGCATATATAAAAGTATCACAATCAAGCCTATCATTTTGCATAATTACCATATGCCACCGGAACAATATACTTAGCATCCCTTTTAATACAGTCTGTTTTATACAGAGTATGTCATCTAAAAGAACTGGAACATATTGGCTATGAGCTTAGGCTGAATTTAAGTTCAGGTTTCACAGGGTTTCTAAATTTAGTGAAGGTTAATAATTACAACTATGGATTTCTGATGGCTTATGTAGTGAGAGTTAGCATTTTGACTGCTTTTAACAGTGACTATGTTTTATCTTCATAACCACCTATGAGCATTGGTATTGTCCCCATTTTATTACTAAGCACATAGAGATGAAGTGAGTTAACCATTAAAACATTTGTAGTCATGCAAGATATGGATTCTTGATACGTGAATTCTTCCTGCATTTTAAATAGGGATGAAAATTCTTCCTGCATTTTAAATAGGGATGAAAACCACTTCAAAGGGTTGTTTTTTGAGAAGGGGCATGAGATAATGCATATAAGATGTCTGGTATCATGACTGAATGCTCGGTGCTCAGTAAGGATGCTTTGAAAGTACCTTGTAGCATGGAAACTCAATTATGCCTCTGATGAGAAACTCAGCTGTTTCTATAATGCTATACATTATTAATATTTATTTATTCAGAGTTTTAATGCTCCTTACTAGAAATAAGTGTGTGGCCATGTCAGGAAAAGTGCTAAGTAAAGAATGACCTTTTTTATTTTATGTGAAAGTGCACTTGTTTCATCTGCACAGGTATCCCATAGTTGACATTTGCTTTGCCTGTTTTCTAGGTAGTTCGATTTCATGGTGGAGCTCTTCCTGCGTATGTTGTATCTAGCATTCTTCTTGCTTATGGAGGACAGTTATATTCTCTCTTCTCAACAGGTAAAAATGCTTACATCTTAAAAGTTGATTTTGTTTTAGACTTTAAAGTAGAGCCACTGTTAGTGCCATGTCATTTTCCCTTGTTGATTTTGTTTTGCTTTCCAGTACTGGAGATCAAAACTAGAGCCTTGTATATTCTAAGAACTGACACTGGGCTTTATTCCCATGGTTGTATTCATTCAGATTATGCTGGTTTGAAAGGCATAATAAGAAAGTTCTTACAATTAGCCACCACCACTGTCCTTGGAAACTCCAAGATAGCATGTGGCTATGGGACCAGTCTTCGTGTTTTTTTCAATTTTTTTCAGTACAATTTTTTTCAGGAACAAAAGTTCCCATATACATAAAAAAGACCCACAAACATAAGGAAGAGAAGAAAGCAAGTGAGGTAGGAAGAGGGGAGATGAAGAAAGAAGTAGGAAGAACCCTGAAGGGATGGAGGCATCAGGACAGAGAGAGGGTTGCTAGCAGCCTGCTGAGTGATTTTATAGCCTTTCACACTCTTAGGTAAGATCCACATTCTACAGTTTGTCCTTAGGTTAATCATTACATTTTGTAGCTACAATTTCCCCCCAATCCCACCACACCCCCTTGTAATTTATTAAAAACATTTTGTTCTTTTGTGTTTTTCATAATTTAGGTTTTGGTGATCATATCACCATGGTGGAGTCGAACATATTCTTCTGTCCTCTCTGTGTTTTGAAACATGTGTTAGTAGTTAGAGCTGTGGACTTCAGGTTCTCTTCTCGTTTGCACCCTCCCCTCCTGCTGCTGCTGCAGCCCCCAAGATACTTGTGTTGAGTAAACTTGCAGTGGTGCGTGTGCACTCTCTAATCCTGCTCTCCCTCCTGGTTTATTCTGTGCCCTCCACCCAGCCCTTTCCTTTCATTTCTCCTCTTCCTTCTGTTTCCACCTCCCTCACCTTGCCTTTCTGTCCCTCCTCATGACCTCGCCTTTTTTGTCCTAACTTTTGAGCCAGTGCTTCACTCCTACTCTTTATAACTCTTACACATGGCCGAAGAGGACAGAAGATGCAGTCACTGTCCCCTGGTCTTACCAGGGAAGGTGAGGAAATCTTCCTGCTCCTCCATTTACCACTGTAACCCAGAGAAGTGTGTCCACAGAAGTCAGCCTTCCAGAGTCAGCAAAGAGGAGGACAGAATGGCTCTGACAGGATATAGAATATGGTTCTCAAGAGGCTAAACCTTGGCTAGGCTTGGACCGTCTCAAAGGAGATAGGAGATGGGGAAAAGAGCGAGGCCCAGCTATAGAAAGCCAGGAAGCCTCCTCACCATTTCTGTGGGTCAAACCTTTTTCTAAGGACTCAATTCTTTTAATGACCTTCATAAAACTTCAATGTCCTTGAGTGGCCTTTATGACTTTTTATTGTTCATATTTAATGTGTTAACCTGTATTCTACAGAGAGGAATGTGGTCTGCTCAGCACCAGCCCTTTTTTCTTTTTAATTAGTGTTTTCACAGAGAGGAATGTGGTCTGCACAGCACCGGCCCTTTTTTCTTTTTAATTAGTGTTTGTCTGCATGTCTGTGTCAGAGTGTCAGATCCCCTTCATGTTCCAAGTATGCAAATCATAAGTCACCTGTAGATTGTACCCACTAGAATGAGCGTAAGGAAAAGGAGAGACTGTGACCTTCATACTTAACTGTGGAAAACAGTCTAACAGTTTCTCCAATGGATGAAGTTACTATAGAACCCGGCACCTCTAAACCAAAGTATCACACCAAAGAGAATTGAAAGCTTTCATCCACATAAAAACGTGTACCCAAATGTCCACAGTAGTACTATTCATAATAAGCAAAGCAGTTGCTAAAAGGATGTGTTCAACAATTAAAAGAAATGAAGGGTTGTGGGTATCGCTTGGTGGTAGGACACTTGCTGGCATACATGAGGTCCTCACTGGGTTTAATCCACAACACCTCAAAAATATCCCTGTATATCTTAAAATGTGGTTGAATCTGGACAAGTATTGAATGAATGAAGCTAACGGCAAAAGACCATGCATTATATGACACCATTTATAGCACATCTCCAGAATAAGAGTATCTATAATGACAAAAGATAGATTAATGACTACCAAACAGTAGATCATTTAAAAGCAAAGAGTTTTTGGGGGGTGATGAAAATGTTCTGAGACTGATTGTATTAGTGGATGCATAACCAAATATACTAAGAGCCATTGAATCTATGGACTTTAGATGGATGAATTGTGTGGCATGAGAATCATATCTCAATAAAGCTGTTACTTATGTCACTTATCAATGTTTATAAGAATGCACACTATGAAGGCCTGGCCTTGACACCTTCTGTTTGCTTGATGAGTGACTAAACCTGTGGTTACAGTCAACCTTCCAAGAGTATTCTCTGGTGAGAAAAACCCTGCAGTTTCTGGTGTGCAGTGTTGCTCTTTTGCTACATGTTACATTGGCATTGGGAGAGTAAAGTGTATCTGTCTAATTACTGTGAATTCTTTGTTGCACACAAGTGATTTTCTTCAATTACCAGGTTATTGCATAGAATATTCAACCATATTGGATAAAGAAGCCAAACCATACAAAGTTGACCCATTTGTAATTATGACTAAGTTTTTGTTGGGGTAAGTTTTATTATCTGTGATAATGTTTTAATTTTGTTTGTGAAATAATTATGTTTGATTTCATAATGTAGTATGAATTTTCATATATATTTGGCAATTGATATGTTTTATTAAACTGGAAATTTTAGGAAAAGGTCCAATATGTCTATCAACAGTAATGCGATCATTTCAAAAGTAATTATCTTTATATATAAATAATTATATATTACATGTGTTTAAAAATCTAAAACTTAAACTTTAACCAAGTTAATATCTGTTACCGATTTACTCACATTCAGTAATTTTTTAATTAAGAATTATTTCATAGACTTATTTATTCTGTTATTCCAAATAGCTGTTGACTTTATTAGTTCATGCAGTGACTGATAGGAATAAAGTAGTTCTGAGGCCCTGGACTCAGATACTTAATGTCAGTAGATTCATTAACTTGTTCAAAAGAATTAAGAGCCAAGGGCTGGGAAGCTCACTTAGTGTGTGAAAGTACTTACTGTGAAAACATGAGTTTGAATCTCTAGCACCCACATAAAAAGCAGCTGTGGTTGTGGTTGTTTGCTTGTAAAACTCCAACATTGAGTGGGCAAGGACAGCCAGATCCTGAAAGCTTTCTGGCTGAAATGTAAAACTACCAGTTTAGTGACAGACCCTATCTTAAGGGAATAAGGTATAGAGTTGTAGAGGGAGGTACTCAGTATCCTCCTCTGGCCACACACACACACACACACACACACACACACACACACACACACACACACGCCATGTAACACACTCACATATAGACTCACACACATATACACACACTCACACAATCACATATACACTCACACACACACAAACACACACACACCATATACACACATACACACACACACACACACACACACACACACATGCTTGCACACACTTGTAATCCCAACACTCAGAAGGTGGAGGTAGGAAGGTCTGTACTTCAAAGCCAGTATGAGCTACATAGCCCTTATCTGAAAAACAAACCAAAAAGATTAAGATTTATTTTCAGTATATTTTACAAACTATCTTAGCCCTTTAAGGCTTCTAGTAGATAGGTAGACACCTCAAAGAAACAGCTAAATGTTAGTTGTTGCAATTTTGGGTTGTTTTGCTTCTATTTTGCAATTTCATTTGTCCATTTTACAGGTATAAATGGTTTAAGGACTTATGGGATGCAGTGTTATTACCGGAATTAGATGCCATCTTTCTAACTAGTCAGAGTATGTGTTTCCCTCTTGTATCCTTGATTCTCTTCCTGTTTGGAACATGTACTGCATACTGGACTGGTCTACTCTCTTCTACATGTGTGCAGCTTCTTTCTTCACTGTGGCTAGCTCTGAAAAGGTAAGGTTATTCTAAAGTCTTTCTTACAACTCTTAATAAAGAAAATATTAGGATGGGGTATAGCCTGGATGAAGAGCCTGTGCCTAGTATTTGCTAGGACCTGAGCTTGAGCACTGCGAAGAAGAGGCAGAGAAAGAAGGGGAAAGTATAAAATCATATGTATGTATACAGTATTCCAACAGGAAATCCTAAAAGCTTTAGTCATCACTTATTTTATAGATAAAGACTCTGACTTCAATCATGGTCTTTACCATCTACTGGATGGATGGATAAAGGCCCTGAAAACAGCCTGGAGCTGTATTATGGGCCCAAAGGCAGTTTGAATTTAAAGTTACTAGAGACTTTTCTTATAATACCCCCAATCTAGTTTTCTCTTGACTCCCCCTTGCCGGATGGCTGTGATGTGGTTTCCTGTCACATGGGAGGTTACAGATGCTGCTGCTTCCCTTGCTGTTTGGAGGTGGTTCTTGGGTTTCTGTCACTGACACCTCAGGCTCACAGTATCTGTTCTTCTGTCAGGACTGGGGCATGCATGACACAGGATCTGTAAACAATTGTCCTGTTTCTTCTGTAGTACAAGTTTCAGGCATATTATGACCCATAAAAAAAATCATCACAGTGTATTACAGCACTGCATGTCACCTCTTAGCTTTGTTGAGAAACACATTACAGTTTACTTTGTGTTTATTTTTTACAGGTAGTGTTTATAGATTCCTTTGTGCCCTCACATGTTAATAACCAGCGATGGGGCTGGCAATGCACATGAGCTTGAGTGCACTCCATCGGAAATGCTCAGGTGCTGGATGTTTCCAACTCCAGACTTTCTTGGATTTTGAAATATTTGCATATATGAATCTTGAGGATGGGGCCAAGCTCCAAGTGCAAAATGCAGTTGTTTTATATTACTTTATGTACATAATCCGAAGCTTATTTTACAGCTTCCTTAATGCATCTGCATTTTTGGCTATGGCTTAACACATGAGATCATGGATTGGAATGTTCCTCTTGTGACATGAGGGGTCCTCAGGTTTTACATTGTTTTCCTCTTTTGTGGACTGTGTAAAAATGTACACCGATGTATTTTAAAACAAAACAAAACAATAACTTTTTCCTTTTATTCTAGACCTGCAGAACTTCCTAAAGATATCAAGGTGATATCACCAGACTTGCCTATTATGATAGTTGCCTTTCTCATAGTGAGTTGGACAACTTGTGGAGCACTTGCCATACTTCTGTCTTATCTGTACTATGTGTTTAAGGTATGTTGGATCAGTAAAGCCAGGAGGCCTGGGCTATGTATTAGGCACCATAGAATTCCCATAGGCATTATTAACAAAAGGTTGTGATTACTCCTTAGTGCAACCTTCTATTATGTCAGAAATTGATGTTCAGCATTTTTTTTCTTGTATCTTGGTTATTTAACTTACATTTACTTAAGTATAACTTATATTTAGTTAAGAATTGGCATTATTAGTCTGAGTTGGAGTATTGGTTAAAACAAAGGGAGAAGATATGTTTTAGGTCACTTTTTGTTTGATCATAAACTTCTAAACATTTTATTAAAATAGATTTACTCACAACTTGAAGACTATGAATAGGAAAATAAAAAGTTGTTAGTTTTAATTAAGTTGTCAGTCATATCAATGAATGCTGACATATGTGCTGAAGAACCAAAGGCAATGATAACAATTAAGCAATGATTTTACTGAAGCAGAAAATACTGAATAAGCCAACAACCTTGAAGGGATCCAGGAGGCAACAACAAGCTGCATATGTGGTATATTGATCATGTGGGTGGTGGGTGGACTGTCTACAGCACACTGGATAGTTGACCATGTGGCTGGACTGTCTACAGCACACTGTATAGCTGATCATGTGGCTGGACTGTCGGCACTACACTGAATATTGTTTTACTTTTCATCATGACTCCATATCTGCCTCTGTATTTTTAACTAGATACTTTTTTGATATTCTTGCTGAATTTTTAAAACATTTTTATTTTTATTTTTTATTAATTTATTTTTTATATTCCAATCCTAGTTCCCCCTCCCTTCTCTCCTCCTGCTCAGCTTTCTTGCTCCCCCATCCCACCTCCCTTCTGCTTCTTGGAAAGGGTAAGGCCTCCCCTAGGAAGTCTGTCCCATCATCTCATTGAGGCAGGACCCAAGGCACCTCTCCACCCCCCACTAGGCTGAGCAAGGGATCGCTCCATATAGAATGGGCTCCACTAAGTCAGTTTGTGCATTAGTGTTAGATCTTGAATCCACTGCTAGTGGCGCCATATATTGTCCCAGCCACACCATTTGTCACTTATAATATTAGGGGAGTCTAGTTTGGTCTTCTACAGGTTCTCCATTTGTCAGACTGGAGTCAGTGATCTCTCACTAGCTTGGGTCAGCTGTTTCTGTGGGTTTCCCCATCATGGTCTTGACTCCTCCCTTACTTCAATTGTACTTCAGGAGCTTGGCCCAATGGTTATTTGTGGATTTCTTCATCTGCTTCCATCTGTTTCTGAAAGAGGGTTTTAGCTTCTCTGGGGTTGTGGATTATGGGCTGGGTAACTTTTGCTTTATTTCTGGTATCCACTTATGAGTGAGTACATACTATACTTATGTTTTCTGGATCTGGGTTACCTCACTCAGGATGGTTTTTTCTAATTCTGTCCATTTGCCTGCAAATTTTAGGATGTCATTATTTCTTACCACTGAATAGTATTCCATTGTGTAAATGTACCACATTTTTTTTTGTATCCATTCTTCAATTGAAGGGCATTTGGTTATTTCCAAGATCTGGCTATTACAAATAATGTTGCTATGAACATAGTTGAACAAATGTCCTTGTGGTGTGAATGTGCCTCCTTTGAGTGTATGCCCAAAAGTGGTATTGCAGGGTTTTGAGGTAGATTGATCCCTAATTTTCTGAGAAATTAGGGATCATACCATACTGATTTCCACAGCGGCTGTATAAGTTTGTACTCCCACCAGCAATGGAGGAGTGTTCCCAGTAAATGGAGTTTTTAATTGGTCTAGATAATAAAAAGCTGGAATCAGATATAGAGGGAAATGCTGAGAGATCAAAGAGAAGGAGCAAGCCACAACACACCTTACCTTCTTAGTGTCTCAGCAGACAAGAGAATGAGTTCCTGTTTCTCCCTGCTTATACCCTATTTCTGCCCAGCTACCTCACCTCACTTCCTGTCTGTACAGACCTTCAGACCGCTATGGTTAGTTAGTGGCAAGATCCATCCTCTGATTCCCACACAGGCTCTATTTGTACAAGCAAGATAACATCCTCTCCAGCATAAACTGTCATTGGTATCTTTGATCTTAGCCATTCTGATCTTTGTAAGATGGAATCTCAGAGAGGTTTTAATTTGCATTTCCCTGATGACTAAGTATGCTGAGCATTTTCTTAAGTGTCTTTGGCCACTTGAGATTTTTCTGTTGAGGATTCTCTATTTAGGTCTGTATCCCATTTTTAATTGAATTATTTGATAGTTTGGTGTCTGGTTTCTTGAGTTCTTTGTATATTTTGGAGATCAGCCCTCTGTCAGATGTGGGGGTTGGTGAAGATCTTTTCCCACTCTGTAGACTGCCATTTTGTCTTGTTGACTGTGTCCTTTACAGAAGCTTCTCAGTTTCAGGAGGTCCCATTTATTAATTGTTGCTGTCAGTGCTTGTGATATTGGTGTTCTATTTAGGAAGTGGTCTCCTGTACCATTGTGTTCAAGGATACTTCCCACTTTCTCTTCTATGTGGTTCAGTGTGGATGGATTTATGTTAAGGTCTTTGATCCATTTAGACTTGAGTTTTATGCATGGCCATAGGTATGGATCTATTTGCATTCTTCTACATGTTGACATCCAGTTATACCAGCACCATTTTTGAATATGCTTTCTTTTTCCATTATGTATTTTTAGCTTCTTTGTCAAAATCAGGTGTTCATAGGTGTGTGGGTTGATATCAGGGTCTTTGATTCAATTCCATTGGTCCACCGTCTGTTTTTATGCCAATACCAAGTTGTTTTCATTACTGTAGCTCTGTAGTAGAGCTTGAAGTCAGGGATGGTGGTGCCCCCAGATGATCCTTCATTGTTCAGGGTTGTTTTGGCTATCCAGGGTTTTTTGTTTTTCCATATAAAGTTGAGTATTGTCCTTTCAAGGTCTGTGAAGAATTGTGCTGGGATTTTGATGGGGATTGCATTGAATCAGATTACCTTTGGTAGGACTGCCATTTTTTCTATGTTGATCCTACCTATCCAAGAGCATGGGAGAAATTTCCATTTTCTGGTATCTTCTTTAATTTCTTTTTTTAAACACTTGAAGTTCTTGTCATACAGGTCTTTTACTGGTTTGGTTAGAATTACCCCAAGGTATTTTATGTTATTGATGACTATTGTAAAGGGTGAAGTTTCCTTGATTTCTTTCTTAGCCTGTTTATCATTTGTGTATAGGAGAGCTACTGAGTTTTTTTTAGTTAATCTTACATCCTGCTACATTACTGGGGGTGTTTATCAGTTGTAGGAGTTCCCTGGTAGAATTTTTGGGGTCACTTACGTTAACTATCATATCATCAGCAAATAGTGACAGTTTGACTTCTTTTCCAATTTGTTTCCCCTTGATCTCCTTTTGTTGTTTTAATGCTCTAGCTAGAACTTCGAGTACTATGCTGAATAGATATGGAGAGAGTGGACAGTCTTGTCTTGTTCCTGGTTTCAGTGGGATTGCTTTGAGTTTCTCTCCATTTAGTTTGAGGTTGGCTGTTGGGTTACTGTATATTGTCTTTATTATGTTTAGGTATGTTCCTTGTATCCCTGTGCTCTCCAAGACATGAAGGGGTGTTGAATTTTGTCAAAGGCTTTCTTAGCATCTAATAAGATGATCATGTGAGTTTTTTTATTTCAGTTTGTTTATATAGTGCATTACATTGATAGATTTTCATATGTTGAACCATCCCTGCATCTCTGGGATGAATCCTACTTGGTCATAGTGGATGATTTTTCTGATGTGTTCTTGGATTTGATTTGCCAGTATTTTACTGAGTATTTTTGCATCTATGTTCATGAGGGAAATTGGTCTGTGATTTTCTTTCTTAGTTGTATCATTGTATGGCTTTGGTATCAGGGTAACTGTAGCCTTGTAAAAAGAGTTTGACAATGTTCCATCTGTTTCTATTGTGTGGAATAATTTGAGGAGTATTGGTATTAGTTCTTCTTTGAACATATGGTAGAATTTTGCGCTGAAACCATCTGGGCCTGAGCCTTTTTGGTTGGGAGACTATTGATAACTGTTTCTATTTCCTTAGGGGTTATAGGTATATTTAAGTTGTTTATCTGTTCTTGATTTAATTTTGGTATGTGGTACTTATCTAGAAAATTGTCCATCTCCTTAAAGTTTTCGAATTTTGTGTAGTACAGGTTTTTGATGATTCTCTGGATTTCCTCAGTGTCTGTTGTTATGCCCCCCCTTTTTGTTTCTAATTTTGTTAATTTGGATATTCTTTCTCTGTCTTTTGGTTAGTTTGGAAAAGGTTTGTCTATTTTGTTGAATTTCTCAAAGAACCAACTCTTTGCCTTATTGATTCTTTGCATTATTTTTGTTTGTTTGTTTCTGTTGTATTGATTTCAGCCCTCAATTTGACTATTCCTTCTAGGTGAGTTTGCTTCTTTTTCCTTTTAGCACTTTCAGTTGTTCTGTTAATTCACTAGTGTGGGATTTTTCCAGCTTCTTTATGTAGGCATTTAGTGCTATGAACTTTTCCTCTTAGCACTCTTTCATTGTGTCCCATAAGCTTGGGTTGTTATGCGGTTGTTTTCATTAAATTTTAGGAAGTCTTTAATTTCTTTATTTCTTCCTTGACCCAGTGGTGATTCAGTTGAGGATTGTTCAATTTCCATGTGTTTTGGGGCTTTCTAAAGTTAATGTTGCTGTTAAATTCTAACTTTATGCTGTGGTTATCCAATAGGACACAGGGATTTATTCCAATTTTTTCTATCTGTTAAAGTTTGCTTTGTTAACGAATATTTAGTCTATTTTTGAGAAGATTTCATGAGGTGCTAAAAAGGTATATTCTTTTGTGTTTGGGTGGAATGTTCTATAGTTGTCTGTTGAGACCATTTGAGTCATAACGTCTGTTAGTTCTCTTATTTCTCTGTTAAGTTTCTGTCTGGCAGACCTGTCCAGTGGTGAGAGCGGGGTGTTGAAGTCTCCTACTATTAATATCTGGGGCTTGATTTGTGATTTAAGCTTTAGTAAAGTTTCTTTCACAAATGCAGGAGCCCTTGTGTTTGAGGCATAGATGGTCAGAATTGAGATTTCCTCTTGATGGATTTTTCCTGTGATGAATATGAAATGTCCTTCTTTATCTTTTTTGACTGATTTTAGTTTGAAGTCTATTGTATTAGACATTAGGATAGCTACACCAGCTTGTTTCTTAGGTCCATTTGATTGGAAATTTTTTTCCCAACCCTTTACTCTGAGGTAATATCTGTCTGTGAGTTTGAGGTGTGTTTCTGGTATGCAGAAGAAGGATGGATTCTGTTTTTGTATCCAGTCTGTTAGTCTGTGTCTTTTTATAGGTGAATTGAGTCCATTTATATTAAAGGATATTAATAACCAGTGATTGCTAGTTCCTGTTATTTTTGTTTTGGTGGTGGTGGTGGCATTATGTGTGTATTTCCTTTCTTTGGGCTTTGTTGCTGTGACATCATCTGTTGCCTGTGTTCTTGTTGATGTAAGTGACTTCCTTGGGTTGGCATTTTCCTTCTAGTACTTTCTTTAGGGCTGGGTTTGTGGATAGGTATTGTTTAAATTTGGTTTTATCATGGGATCTCTTGTTTTCTCCATCTGTGGTTACTGAAAGCTTTGCTGGGTAAAGTAGTCTGGACTGGTATCCATGGTCCCTTAGTGTCTGCATAACATCTAACCAGGACCTTCTGGCTTTCATTGTTTCCATTGAGAAGTCAGATGTAATTCTGTTTGGTCTGCTTTTATATGTTACCTGGCCTTTCTCCTTTGCAGCTCTTAATATTCTTTGTGTGTGTGTGTGTGTGTGTGTGTGTGTGTGTGTGTGTGTGTGTGTGTGTGTGTGTGTGTGTGTGTGTGTGTGTGTGTGTGTGTGTGTGTGTGTGTGTGTGTGTTTATTGTTTTGATTATTATGTGGCAAGGGGACTTTTTTGTTGTTGTTTTTCAGCCTATTTGGTGTTCTGTAAGCCTATTGTATTTTCATAGGCATGTCCTTCTTTAGATTGGAAAGGTTTTCCTCTATGATTTTGTTGAATATATTTTCTGTGCCTTTGAGTTGGACTTCTCCTTCTTCTATCCCTATTATTCTTAGGTTTGGCCTTTTCATGGTGTCCCAGATTTCCTGCATCTTTTGTATTAAGGATCTGTTGGATTTACAATTTTCTTTGACTGATGAATCCATTTCTTCTATCGTATCTTCAAAACCTGAGATTCTCTCTTCCTTCTCTTGTATCCTGTTTGTTATGCTTGCATTTGTAGTTCCTAATCATTTACCCAAATTTTTCATTTCCAGAATTCCCTCAGTTTGTGTTTTCTTTATTGCCTCTATTTCAGATTTCAAGTCTTGAATTATTCCCTTCACTTGTTTGATTGCTTTTTCTTGATTTTCTTTAAGAGATTTGTTGATATCTTCCAATGTTTTGTTTATCTTTTCCTCCATTTCTTTAAGGGATTTTTTTTTGTTTCCTCTTTAAGGACCTCATTCTCATAAAGCTATTTTTGGATCATTTTCTTCTACTTCATCTGTGTCAGGATGTTCAGGTCTTGCTGTTGTAACACCACTAGTTCATAGTGGTGTTGTATTTCTTGCCTTGTCTTGCACACACCTCTTCCTCTAATTGGTATAGGTGGAGCTTGTGCTTCAGGGTCTCTCATTCTCCAAATGGTATAGTTTGGGGGCTGCAGCTCCATTGATTGCTCCTTCAGGCACAATCAGAGCAGAGCCTCTGATTGTTCCTCCAGGTGGAAATGGTCCCAAGGCTCAGGTGGTCACTCCTTGAGGTGCAGGCAGGGCCACAACTCTGGTGATTGCTCCTCTAGGTGTAGGTGGGGCTGTGGGTCAATGTAGCAGCCAGGGTATCTCCTACTGAGAAATGATAGTGGATGCTGACTGGGACACAGGTGCTCTTTCCCAGAGGAACTTTTTGTGATAGTTTCTGGAAGCTCCTGCTGGAAACCGCTGCTGTCATCTCACCCTGCAGTTGCTCTTTGTTCCTGGTCCTGAGGCTGGGGCCTCCCTCTGCTGCTCTGACCTAAAGCTTTGGCCTCTCTCTGCCACTTCTTCTGGGCTGGGGTTCCAGCCTCCCACTGCTGCTGCTCTGGGCCTAAAGCTTGGCCTTCCTCTGATGCTGCCTCAGGGCTGGGATCCAGGCCTTCCACTCAATTAGATACTTTTTAAAAGATGACTCAATAGACAAAACTCCCTCAGATTTTTAATTTAGGGGAAGCAATAAATTTACAAAATTTTTCAAAGTCTTGGCAAAGATATTTTGCCACCACATATATGAATATTTTTATATAATATTAAATATAATCAAACTTTTGACCTATGAGGAATGTAGGATTTCTGTAGCAAGGTGTTATCAAACATGTTACAGGATTTAAAAAGTCTCTACATATTCTGGAAGTTTGTATTGTTTCCATATTGAGTTTTTCTTTTTAAATCCATAAATGTTAGCATTTGTTACGATTTATCTTTCATAGAATACTTATTTCAGATTTTTAAATAAAGCCTGATTGCTTATTTTTTTTAATGTTTTCATTACTAGCTGTATTTTATGTGTATGAGTTTTTTGTCTGAACTGTGTGTATGCAGTACCCATCAAGGCCAGAAGAGGGTATCAGAACCCCTAGAAGTGGATTGAAGGTAGCTCATGAGCACCGTGGAGTCTTGGAACTAAACCCAGTTCCTATGCAAGAACAGTTGGTGGTCTTAATCACCAAGCCATCTCTCCAGCTCCATGTTTTTATTTTTCAAAATTTCAGATTGTCTTATGCTTCTCAGTTTTAAGCTTTTTTTTTTTTAATCTATTGATTTTGTTCCTAATACAAGTAAAGTTAAAACCATCTTCTCTTCCCAAGGTTGTCCATCTGCAAGCCAGCCTAATGACTTTTAGAAACAACCAGCCCGTGGTGAGCTTTGTTTTCTAAACACTATATACTAATATGAAAGTACATGAGAAAATATACCCTTGGTTTTTTCATTGTGTTTTGAAGTTTTGGGGATGTATATTACAATCTTAAAGTTTTTAAAAGGAATTGTGAATTTAAGTAGCTTTAAGTAAAGTTAAGGAATATTAAACTATACTTGAATTGTTCAGTTTAACTTGCTTGTCGGTTACCTTCATCACTTTGTTGTTAAAAATTATTTTGAATTATTACTAATAATAAAAATAAGAAGTCAAAAAATGTAGCTGGACATGGTCATACAAGCTGGTATTTCAAGCACCCAGGAAGCTGAAGCAAAGGGGTGGCTTGAACCAAAGAGTTTGAGACCAGCCAGGGTAACTTAGCATGATCCCATCTCAAAACAAAAAAGAATAAAAACTCTTGTGATGATAACAATTTAAAAGTACTTTTAGCAAAGTAATTTCAGTACTTTATGTTTGATAATAAAAGACGATTTAGTTAAGTAGTTGATAATAATTGGTTCTAAGCAGTATCTTGAACTTATTGTTTATTCCTACCTTGGAATTCATTCTTTTATTGCTTTCTAGAATCCCAAACACTCTAGAAGAAGTGAAAAAAAGTCCAACCACCATAAAGACTCTTCAGTGCAAAGTCTTCGCCTGTCTGCTAACGATGCTGAGGACAGTCTGCGCATGCATGGCACCGTGATTAACCTGCTGGCATGGGTGGTGCTACTCAGCATGCCATCTCTAATCTACTGGCTAAAGAACCTGAGGTGCGCTTATTCATGTAATTATTGCTTGTGTGGTTCAGACAATAAACCTCTCTTAATAGAGCCTGGCTGAATTCCTGATGGTCCATGAAAATTGCTTGAGAACAGGAAGTTATATATTGCCAGGAATTAGTTTTCAGTACAGTTCCTTTCCCTCATTAGCCATGATGATAGAAGTTTTGAGATTATAATGTTCTCTAAAAATCAGCCAAAGGAAGTGATTTGTATTTTTTACAAAAAAAGTAATTTATAAACTATTTTTATTATGTGTGGTATACAAAATAATGAGTTTCGTTGTGACATTTTCATACATGCCCATTACTATGTTGAGGCCACCTTCTCTTGTCCCAGCTTATCTTTTCCATTGGTTCCCTCCTCTTGCCAACAAAACCATGTACAGACAGCCTGAAAAACCTCAATAAAATACCTAGGAGTAAACGTAACCAAGGAGGCTAAGTGAAGCAGTGCTAAAATTTATTTGGAAGTAAAATAGATTCCAACTAGCCAAAGCAATCCTGAGCAAAGGGAGTACTGTGTATAACAGAGCTGTCCACATATGATCAATACAGCAATGTCAACCATTGCTAAGATTATGAATGAGCTCAGATGCTAATTAACATGAACGAATAAAGAAAATATAGCATGTGTACACACATAATGGAGTATTATTCAACCATAAAGAACAAAACTGTTTTTTTGGAGGTTATTGTATTAAGTGAAATAAACTAGACTCAGAAAATGAATGTGTTTTCTCTAACGTGTAAAATTTTATAGGAAGACACGAAAATACAAGAAGGTTATTTGGCATCCATTGGAGTTTTCACAGGGTCAGCTTGAATCCATAGGTTGCTTTATATAATGTAAACATTTTTACAATATTCTTTCTGCTGATCCATGAACACAGAACGTCTTCCAATCCTCTCGGATTCTCCTCTGTTTCTTTTTTTTTTGTGGTTTATAGGTTTCATTGTAGAGATCTGATGTCACTCTCATCATGTTCACTACTGTCATATAGAAACATACTGATCTTTGTGTCTGTTACTCTGCTGCAAATGTTTATCAGATCTAAGAGTTTCCAACTGGAATTTTTAGGGGCTTTCTAAGTTTAGGATCATATTTTCTACTAATAGGGATAATTTGAGTTTTTCCTATTTTTTATCCCTTTTAAAAATGTCTTTTTTCTTGCCTCAGTAGTCTGACTGAAACTTCATTATATTGAACAAGAATGGGGAGAGAGTAGCATCCTGTCACTGTCCTGGTTTTAGAAAAAAAAAAAAAACTTGTAGCTTTTCTCCAACTCAGTATAAAGGTAGCTGTAGGTCTGTCATATCCATCCTTTACTTTGCTGAGCTATTATCTTTCTAGTCTTGGATTCTCTAGGGCTTTTTTATATATTTGGTTGTGAGCCTAGACTTTAACGGTTGAGCTATCCTTCCAGCCCTAGGGCTTTTTTAAAACATGAATTGAAACTGAATTTTTTCATAGGCCTTTCCCCCATCTAATGTGATGATCATATGGTTTTATCCTTAATTTTATCCATGTACTAAAGTATGTTGTGTTATTTGTGCATCTCTGCATCCTTGCACCACTAGAGTGAAACCAACTTGATGACATCTTTTGACTGTGCTGTTGAACTAACTCAGTTTACAAGTATTTTACTGAGGATGTTTGTGCTGTTTCTTCAGAGAGATGGGTCTATCATTTCCTTTTTATTGTGTCCTCAGGCTCAGATCAATACTGTTTTTTAGGCTGTTTGACAATGTTCTTTCTATTTTGTAGAATAGAAAACCAGCATGTGTATTTTAAAGGGCTGATAGAACCTGTCTACTCCTGGGCTTTTCTTTGTTGGGAGACATTATTGATGTAGTCTCATTTCTTGTTATGTAGATCTATTTACATTGTTTATATGCTCATGGATCAATTTTATGTAGGTCCTGTTTTTCTGTCCATAAGTTTATTAATTTCTTCTAGTTTTTCAGTTTATTGAAATAGAAGTTTTCAAAATATTTCATAATGATCTTCTAGATTTCATTGCTAACTGTTCTTTTTGTTTTAAATTTTATTAATTTGTGTCTTCTCTCCTTTTCTTTGGTTAGTTTGGCCAAGGGTTTGTCAATGTTGCTAACCATTTCAGAGAACGTATTCTTTATTTTATCTCTCCCTTTTATTGTTCCTTGAGTCTCCATCTCACTAGTTTATACTAATGCTTATTATCTGTCTACTAATTTGTTCCATTTTTCAATGACCTTGGGGCACATCATTAGATTATTTGAGATCTGTTTTTTAAATGTAGGTCCTTATAGCTATAACTTTCCTGCTAAAACTTCATTTGCATTATTCCAAAACTTCTAGTAAGTGATGTTTTCATTTTCATTCAATTCTGTGATTTTTTAAAAAATTTTCCCTTGAGTAAAGAAATCAATCCCACTGATCATTCAGAATTACATTGTTTGAGTTCCATGTGCTTGGATTGTTTCTGTAGTTTCTTTTGGTGTTGATTTCTAGTTTTATTCTGTTATTATTTGGTAGGAAACAAAAATTTATTTTAGTGTTTTAAAATAAAGACTTGTTTTAAGTCCTAAACCATGATGTTTCAGAGAAAGTTCTATGGGTTGCTGAGAATGTATATTCCACAATTGGTGGATAGAATATGCTATTGGTGTCTGCTTAGAACATTTGATATTTGGAGGAGTTCAATCTGAAATCTGAGGGAAGGATGTGTGGATGATCAGCTTCTTGTGAGGGGAGTGGGGCTGTCCTCTACTGTTTGGTAGCTGGGTCAGACTCCTCTTCTGTGTTCAGTGGTTGTATTTTTATGTAATTTACTGCTTTCAGCATTCAGCAATATAGTTTTGATTGTTACATCCTCTTCAAGAGGGGAGTGTTTATTTTATTTTTAATTTTGTGTATGAGTGTGTATTTGTGTGTGCATATGTCCACATGCCCTTTGGAGGCCAGAGGCATTGGATCCTGGTTTGTAACCCATCTGACATGGGTGCTGGAAACCAACTCTGGTCCTCTGCAAGAGTAAACCACACTTTCACATGCTGAGTCATCTGGTTTGTAACCCATCTGACATGGGTGCTGGAAACCAACTCTGGTCCTCTGCAAGAGTAAACCACACTTTCACATGCCGAGTCATCTTTTCTTTTCTTTTACAGGGTTTCTCTATGTAGCTTTGGAGCCTATCCTGGTACTCGCTCTGGAGACCAGGCTGGCCTTGAACTCATAGAGCCTCTGCTTCCTGAGTGCTGGGATTAAAGGCATGCACCGCCAACACCCAGCTCTGTTACATATTCTTGATGGACTGTTTCCTTCATCGATGTATAGTTACCTTCTTTATCTCTTCAGGCTAAGTTTTGCATGAAGTCTGGTCTACAGTATGTGTTCCAGGACAGTCAGGGCTACACAGAGAAACCCTGTCTTGTTAAAAAGTTAAAATGACATAAAAGTAGAGTAGAAAACTAAAAGTACAACAAAACAAAGAGTTAAAAATCTCAAAGAATTGAAGAAGTCTTTCCTCTGACATTGGCATCAGCCAGATGTGAAGTAGGATTGGAGTAATATCCAGAGCCTGTTGTGGTTCCACACTGTTACCACCATATAATGGAGCTGCATGCAGCTGAGGACCAGGAGGGTCCGGAGTATGTGGTCTGTGCCAAGGCTGCATACACTTTAGAAACATGTCTTTGCCTGCTGAGAATTGTGTGGCTTACCCAGCAAGGTTCCCACTCACTTCCAAGGCCTTTTCCCAGTTTGAAGAGAACAAACAGGGTCCTATGTTATGTTCTAAACTGGATAAGCTCACTAAAGGCATAGAGAATCTTATGCAGTGAAATTATAGTGGGAAATCCAGGGAACCTGGATTCAGATTGATCCCACCTAGCAGTAAACTCTATAGGAGGGAAGAATCTGGGGAAATCAAAGAATCCACTGGGCCTGAGGCCTGAGCTGTCAGACTTGCCCACAGCAAACCACAGGTGGCAGAAAGACAACTCCAGAGGTCCAGCAGGCCCCGAATTCAGAACACAGAAATACACAGGGCATGGGACTTGACCCTCGAAGGATCTGGTGGGCACACTCACTCCATCAAACGTCACAGCCCGGCCTCACTGCTGGTTATTTATCGGACCCTTCCTACTCTTTCCATGGATACCCCTTCCTACTCCTTCCATGGCTACCCCTTGTGAAGATCCCAACCTAAACCTGTGGCATGTATCCCACGATTCCTGACTTGGAACTGTCCCTCATTTTCGGGTCTTCAGAGTGTCTCAATCTTGAACTAGGCACTATCGTAAGAAGGTCTCTCTCTTTACCCTCTAAGATACGGGGAGCAAACCAGTGTCCTTCTGTAGTGCCATAGCATTCTTTAGGAGCTACTGTCATAATGAATCCCCCACTGTAGCCAAAGCTTGCAAGACTTTCTCCTGTGGTTAGGATTGTTCTTCTATTGTCCTAGGCTGCCTGGCTCACCTGTGGCTCTCCTGCCTGGGCCCTCTCACACCAGGTTAGAAACTGGCAGAATCAAAAACAGTTCAGGAAACAAAATCAAGGGTTGTTAGATGTTGATATCCTTCTTTTGTTTGTGTTTCAGTCAAGACCCAGAATTTTGTTCAAATGTAGTCAGGATTGAGAAACAAGCCTGATTCTCAAAGGCTATGGAATTCTTACTGTCAGTAACTGCAAGGGATGAAATTATGGATTTTAAAAGCTAATGGGAAGTCATTTTAGCCTCCATCTCACCTGTTTTGATATAGGGCCATGCTATCATATTTTAAGTAGTTGGTTTTGAAGAGCTGTGTGACCCTTTCTACACTGTGTATCTCCATCTCCTCAGTGGCTTCTGAGTGTAATGCCCAATGTCAAATCCTGAGTGGGAGGGCAGTCTAGAGTGGGAATTACTGCTAGAGGCTTCATGAACCGTCTAGAGTGATCCTGACTATATTGTTATTGGAACTTTTTGAAAATTAATTAATTTGATTCTGATTATTTATAATCATGAGTTTTGCTTTGTTGATATATGTTTTCTTTTTATTCTAGGTATTATTTCAAACTTAATCCTGACCCATGTAAACCCCTGGCATTTCTCCTTATTCCAGCTATGGCGATTCTTGGAAATACTCACACAGTTTCAGTAAAGTCAAGGTACAATGGTTTAAGTTATTTCTTCCTGTTACTGGCCTTTGTTATTTTATTTCTTGAAGCATCCTCTTTGTGTTTGTTTCTAAAAGTAAAGCCATGGGTGATTGTGGTTTATATGCAGATATATTATGCTTGTTTTCTTAATTGCAGTTTTGTCAAGAAATGAGTGAGTTATTTTCTTTTAAAACTTAAGTCTTACTTAGATGATATATCTAAGATTTGACTTCCCAAAAGTATAGGAGTAGTATACTATAGATGGACTAAAGTAGATGGACCTGTGGCTAAAGTAATGACTGTTGATTCAGCTGAATAATAGGTATGGGGGCTTAGTGTGCGGTTGGCATTTTATGTGTATGAGTTTGAGGTACTCATAACAACACTTGGTCTTTTTGGAGTGTTTGCTCTGGGAGGCACCTGTGCTGTTCTGGGATCAGGCCCACCAAGGATTTAAATCTTAATATGGGAGCAGGAGCATTGTTACATGCCTGGGGTTTGAACATGAGGGAGAAAAAGTAGGAGAACCTGCAGCCAAGGCCATCCTCAGCTATATAGAGTTGGTGGCCAGCCTGGGCTACATTGGCCCATATCTCAAATTAATTGTATAAGTAAGGAAGAACAAATCTTGTCTTGACAATTTAATGACTGTATCCATAGACTTACCCCGTTTAGCCTCAGTTTCTCCATTTCCAGGGTAAAATCCAAGAGGTTTCCCCTGAAACTAGTTTTCTTTTTCAATATTTAATATTTGGTTTATGTGTTTCCTTTCTTGGTACAAAGATGCTTTGTCTGTTGCACTGTTTTGTTTCTTTTTTTGTTCTTACTTAATTTTGATGTTGTAAGTAGGATTAGATTAAACATTTTTGTAGCTATGTCTTCCAGAGCATTATTTTGATAGGATATGTTTTTAGAGGTAGAATTGTGGAATGAAATACCAAACTGGTATTTTTCTGTCACTAAGGAAAGAATAAGAATATAGCTGTTCTCTGAATAAAAATTTGTTTCCTTATTCTGTTTAAAATATGATTTTTAGTGAACTTTATACAATTATGGACAGAGGATTTTTTTCAGTTAATTTTAAAATCACATCATTTAAAATCACTTAGAAGCCAGATAGTTTGGCATCCTCCTGCCATCTCAGCACTCAGAAGATAAGAAGGATCCAAGTTCAAAGTCAGCCTGGGTTATGTCATATATCACAGAACCTCAGCTCAGAAAACCAAAACTGAGATGGCACAGTGGCACTCAGGAGTCAGGAACAGGCAGATCTCTGTGAGTCTGAGGCTAGCCTGGGCTATATAGCAAGTTTCAAGTGAGCTAAGTATGCGTAGTGAGATCCTATCTCAAATAAAACAAAACACGAAGAAAAAAAGATAATCAAAATAAACAAAAATAAACAAAATTTAAATAAATACAAGCAAAAATCATATTTCCCAAAAGGGAAAAAACATATTTCCCTTTTGACTCACAATGTAGTTTGAATAAATAATACATATTTCTCTCTCTTCACAGTAAATTACTGAAGACCGCCTCGCAGTTTCCACTTCCTCTGGCTGTCGGTGTGATCGCTTTTGGCTCCACCCACTTATACAGGGTTCCATGTTTTGTCATCATTCCTCTTTTATTCCATGCATTATGCAACTTTATGTAAGACTAGACTTAACAATAGAAATGAGTTATGCCTTTAGGACCAGTGACACAGTGAACACAGCGCCACCAACTGGAACAGTGAGGTCCTTTGGAGAAGACAAGTCTATTTTTACATCGTTGGAAATAGGAAATTAGTTTTGTAATGCTTGAGGAAAGTAGTTGAAGCATGGTTTCATTTTGTGATGTAGCATCTGTGTACTCATCATACCTGAGAAATTAGTGAAGCGACTCCTGTACATACTGACTAGCTCCATCAGCCCTGCCAGGACTCAGTAGATGCAGCGGTGTTTGTAGTGTCACGTGAAACCTCCGCTGCTTTTATCAGACTTTCTTTTGAAAACTGGGTTTCATATTTGCTATAATTTACATATTCGGAATCAGTCTTAAAAGTCACAGCTATTTCTCAGAAGTGCAATAGTCATGAAGGAATCTGGTCAGTTTTTCGCAGCCATGGTCAACAAAGTTTGATCTGCCATCTTACGTCTATGAACAAGAACCTCAAATTGAAGGGAGACTTTGTGTTAACTACTGCAATTCAGACTTAAAACAATGACATTTTCTTGAGCCTTCAAATACGAATCCTACTGTGCATTCTTGGTGAATGCATGAGCATGAAAGAGATCTACCAAGAGATCTATTATCAAAAGACAGTTCTTGTGGATAGTGCATTGGCACAGTCAGTCTCTGATTAAATCAGTGCTCCTGTGGTTGCCAAAAGGGCCTCTGATGATGATAGATTATTAAAATAACTAAATTCCAGAGGTTGAAACAACTCTGGATTTACATCATTTTTGTCTAGTGGGAAGGAGGGGTGTCAACACGAATACAGTATTGCACTTGATGTACCAAACTATGCTACTAAGAAAGGAACAGTAGGCAACCATTACTCTGTTGGCACTCAGAGTGTGAGCACTGCCTTCCATCACTCAGTTAACAATGGAATCTTGATTGGCAGGGTTCACTCCTTAGGATTACTGTTTGGTCAGTGGGGGTAACATGTTATTTTATTTCCAATTCTAGTTCATTCTTAGCTACAGAAAAGCAAAAAGGCTGGGAGCTTGAAGAATATAGTTGTTCTTTGCCTTCACTCAAAATATAAACACAGGCTGAGAAAAACCTGGTTCAAGGAGCCCTTCACCTAGGCATGTGTTCTGTAAATGCCCAAAGCCTCTCCAGTGAGGTCCTTACCTGTCTGTGAACTCACAGTTGCACTTGTGAACTTGTGTACTTCTTAGTGCCAGGAATGGCACTTAGGGAATCAGTTTCATTCTCTCTGCTGTTGCACCCGGTGCCACAGCCTCTCAGCGACTACTGCCAACCAGAGGTCTTCTCCCACTCAGTCTTTAAAGCTCACCTCACTCCCCCACAGGAGTGCTTCCTGGATCTTTCCTGTTTCAGCATTAGTCAAAGGGTCATGTTATTATCGCAGAGACTAGTTAGTTTGTATGGCCCCGTCACTGTCTTGACTGGCAGCATGCTTGTTAGGTATTTATATCTTCACTTACTAAGACTCTTCAAGGAAAGCCGTTATACATGACATGGCAGACATTTTACTCTCTTGTTTCAGAATCCTGTCAAATGGAGTAAACTATACCATAGTGTTTATTCAGTATCCGAGAGTGAGTTCATTAGATAATACAGTTTTCTTATGGCAGACCTCTCATCTGACTAAATGGGGATGTAGCTGCTTAAATTTTGCCCGGCATGCACAACCTCTACGCACATGCCATCTTTCTATCAGTGATACTGCAGATGTGTCTCAACTTAATGGTAACTGAATACTTCCTGAATTTGAACATACATCTACAAAGAACTTTACAAACATTTGGAGTTAGTTTTATAGCCATGGCTATTTATGAGATCTAAAGTCACCCTGCTTAGTCAGTACTACTCATGAGGAAGATGTCGCAAGTTTGATTTCTTACTCGTGAGTAGTTCATACGTTATTAAAGCACATTGTCTGAAAGTACTTATTCCCGAGCCCTAAGTCTTATTTACTTCACCATAATATTTCAAATACTAGTGGTCTGGGTCTTTGGCCATTTGCCGTTCACACTCACAGATACTCACTCACACGTAAACACACATGGGCCTGCTTTGACAGAATCTTCATCGAGTATTTAGACCCAAGAAGCTAGGTAGAGTTTCTGATCATGAAAATTGCTGTCCCTTAAGAAAAGGAAATTCCTTTATCTCAATATCACTTGCTTTGATCTATCATGCATATTATTATCATTGTCCTATTACCAGTTTTACTAGAATTGGCAGCTAAGTTAGACATTAATACATCAAATTTTGAGTTCTATTCTAAGAAATTGAGTTTTTGAGTAAATGGTGTACTTATTAAACAACTGAATTCTTGCTAGTAAATAGATTGGGTATACATTAGACAGTTAAGAACACTGAATTCTAGGTTTATCGGAAACACCCCACAGAATTATTGTTATTGTAATTTAGACCTGATGTTTTTAAAGATTAATTTTTGTATATGTGTGTGTCTATGTACACATGTATGCTGGTGCTCATTTTGGCCAGTAGAGGGCAGTGGATACCCTGGAGCTGGAGTCAGGTGGTTGTGAGTTGCTGGACATGGATGCCAGGAACCAGAACTCAAATCCTCCAGAGCAACCACACTCTTGACTGAGCTATCCCTCCAGTTCCTGGACCTGATAATGTGACAGAGCTTTCTATCACTTTGTGTATATATATGCATGAGCACCCCCAGGGATTGAATCCAGAGCTTGTGTTTACTAATTATGTTCTCTTCTGTTGAGTTATACAAAATAAATTCTACTTTTTTTTTCTTGGTTACCACCGTAATGAAAACTTTTAGAACTGTGTGGTTCTAAAGAAACCATTTATGCTTAACACTGATGTTTGAGGTGGCCTAATATGTATTAATCATGTATTTATTGGTCTTTTACTTCTTTTTATATTTTAGTTATGTAATTTCAGCTGTCTATAAAGTGATGCTTTTTTAAAGTTTTGGGTACTTTTTTTTTTGAGACAAGGTTTCTTTGGTAGCCTTGGCTGTCCAAGAACTAGCTTTTTAGACCAGGCTAGCCTTGAACTCACAGAGATCTATCTGCCTCTGCCTCCCAAGTACTGGGATTAAAGTGTGCTACCACCACCCAACAAATGGATACCTTCCTTTTATTGAATGAACTATAATAGTATCTATATAATTATACAGTAAAGAAAAAGAAATAACTCCAGGAGGTAGGCCTGCTGAATATTTGCTACTTATTATGTTGTCATGCCTGTGGCCATGACACATTTTCACAATGCTCACAAATTTGTACAAAACAGATTGTCTTATTTATTACCAAGTCCCCGTACTCTTAAAAAACTCTATTTAGACTTTTCACTTACATCTTGATGTACAGCGTGCACCTTCTTAATACCTCTTATGGAAAATGATGGAGTGAAATAAGGGGAAGTAGAACTCGGCAGTTCTTGAAAGCTGCAGGGGGAATATGGTGGTTCAGATGGTGAAGTACCTGCCATGCAAGCGACCAGGACCCGAGTGCAAATCCCCAGAATCCACATGAGCAACCAGCTGAACAGTGTGTTCCTGTAATCCCAGCTCTGTGTGGTGGAAACAGGTAGATCTGGGGGTCTGCTGGCCAGCCAGCCTAGCCAAATTGGCAAACTTATGTTCAGTGAAAAACCTTGTCTCAAAAACTAAGGTGGAGGGTAATTGAGGAAGATTTCTAGCATTGGCCTCTCCCTGCACTTGCATGTGTACTCACACACAGGAGCACACACACAGACATGTACACACATGAAAACACAAAACATACTTAAGTGGCGGAGATCCACAAATACCATGAAGTAAACTAGGGTTGTTGGTTCCAGAATCATGGGATAAATCAGATGGCCTGTATTTCTTTCCTCAGACATCAGGTCTGAATTAATGTATTGCCTTGTGTTTTTTTTTGGTTAGATGCAAAAATCACTTTATTTTGCATTTGAACATTTAGAAGGTGGTTTTTAAAAAATCATTTAGGATAGATCCAAGAGTATACTGAAGTGTTGGACAGTTAGGTTTTTGTTTTGTTTTGTTTTGTTTTTTTTATCTGTGTGGACAATTTGTGAATTTGTGTATCATAGGAAACAGGAGGCACTGTGAAGTTTATTGAGGGTCACACACAACCCATTTGGGGAGTATGACACTTGCAGGAATAAAGGGAGCAATGAAAGTTCCTGTGTTTGTGATATTAGTTCCTGCCAGGAAAGCTTCCATACCAGAGGAAATAAATCTAGGACTCACTCTACTAACTGTAAGATGGAGAGCCGGAATTTTATTGCAGTCTTTCTGAACAAGGAGCATGTATAACTCTATGATTATCTTCTTTTTCATCATTAATGAGGAAATAAGAAAGCCCTGGAGGACCTCACGTTCCCAACTTTCTATAGGATTATAGGAAATGGGAGTCAGATCGGCAGTTCAAAGATGTACTATAAATGCACAAACCGCTTCATTTTTAAAATCTATTGTGAATAAATAAAAACAGACTTTTACATGGAAATGGTGAAAATAGGCATGCTGTTACTCTTCTAATACTATAACTGTAACAGTGCAGCTGGGTGGTGATGCGCGCCAGAGCTGGCAACATCCAAGCTACAGCTTGATTAAACTCTTTGTGAATAATAATTATAAATCAAGAACAGTTTTCTTTAAGTGTTTGGCATGTTATGCTGCCAAAAAAAAAAAAAAAAAACATCTGGAATACTCAGAAACCAGTTAATTTCTGATGACTATATATAAAATTGGTGTCTTGAGTCAGAATCAACCTGTAACCATTATGTACATTGTCAGTTTGAACATCAGTGAGAAACTGTATCTGTTGCTGTTAGATTAGTTAGTGTAAAGTTTGTGTATCTGAATTCTAATCTTAGTCTAGGAAGCCTACAGGCAGCCGTTTTGTAAAGTTCATATGCTATTTCAAATGTTCTTTTGACTTTCAGTATTTGTAGGGTAGTGATGTTACTATGACAAAAGCTTATAGACACTGGGTAGCACTAACTACTCCAGACCCTAGCGGCCAGTGTATTTTGTATTTCATGTGCATCTGTTCTGTTTTATATTGGACTTTTTACACCCCCTTTTTTTTGGGAGAATAAAGATTCATTTGAATCCTTTTTAGCATAATCGGCATTGGAAACTATTAAGTATTCACATGGGTAGGAAAACATACTCTGCCACCAAAGCTAAATGAAACTGTAAAATACCTCTGGATATTTGTGCCAAGGAGCTTTTCTTAGTATATTGGGTTAAGACAAAAGTAATCTTTTCAGTATTTTTCATCTAGACTTACAATAAATGTGTATATTGTGAAAACATTCCATATTTTATTTTTCTTTGAAAATGTTCAAAGCTTTAGAATAGTGTGTTCTATTCTGTCTGGTTTCCTGACATTGCTGGGTAAAACATTAATTCACTCAGTAGCAATCTTTCAGCGGTTAATTGAAATAATCTGTCTTTTGTCTTATTTTTCAAAAAATGAATTGCTTTGTACAGTACGTTTTTGGTATAGGTGTCTCATTTATATACCTGAAAGCTTGCCCTGTGGGGTTTCTTTTGTTTTTTGCATGTTTTGTTTAGTCCCAAGGGTTTATCTGCTAGACCTAACATAGTACAGTGAAGTAAACCTCTTAACATGTACATCTTGTATCAAACACTATGAAATACAGTTGTTAATGAAAAAACATTAGCATTGCTACAGCATTAGACAAAACCAGAAATATAATAGGCCCAGAAGCTCCTGTGGATTTGTATGAACTCTAGTTCCTCCTCATAGGAATGTCATGGAAATCCTGGTGTTTCGTTTTAGTTTTCCTTACCATTTTTTTTTTTTTTACTGCTTCTTTGCCCAATACAGTAATGTAGTTGGTACACTTTCATAAGTTAGCCTCACAAGTGAAGGAGTGCAGAAAGCCAGGTTTTGAAATATTTGGTCTTGATCAAGTAACAGTTACCTAACTGCTGGGGACTGTGGATAGATTAGTAGATAGGTGGCTTATGAGAGCTGGCTTCAGGATGCTGTGTCCTCTGGAAGGAATTTGTCCTCTGTGTGCATTGGCCTTAGCCTAAGTAGGAGATGCCTGTCCTTAGCATAAGCAGGCTATGCTTGGAGAAATGTGCATGGAGAAATAGGTGTTTGTCAGGGTACTAGTACAAATACCCTCACCCTCCCCAAGGTGGGGTTGGAGAGAAATCTTCATTTTTATTGTCTATAAATTAGGAAGTTGTGTTACATATTTGTATTTTTAAAAAATGGGATCTGATGTGTTTCATTTTGAAGTGATACTGTGGTTTCTTACACTTAGGACTAACTGTAAATGTAGCATTGTGCCCAAGATAAAACAGACCAAAACTGAGTATGTATCATCACTGTGACCTTGAACTTATTTGGGGTAGAACAGACTGTGCCTTAAAATGACAAACAATGCCCTGCAATTTTGTCACTGTATATTTTACTATGGGTGGCCTTCTCAAATTCATCCAAAACCTTTTCTTTTGAGGTATGGAAACAGCAGTTGTAAGTACAAATTGCCACACACTTCCTTTAGTAGTCACACAGCTGTTGATCCTCAGGCCTCCCTCGATTTCCAGAGCTTTTCACTGTTTGATTTTTTTTATTTAAAATTGATTTAGTCTTAATATATCTGAAAAATTAGGTTTGGCTAAAGTTTTTTTGGGGGGGAATATTTTAAGGAATAGTCACGGCACTTCTGTTTCTAAACTTATTGAATATGGAAAAATTAATCATCAAAATGTATTTTGTCTTGTTGATAATAACCTTGTCAAAGATGTGAGTTCCTTCTAAGACTTGTGCTCAGTGTTGTGGCAGATTGAGACTTGTATGTATATTCTCAAATAAGCGTTATTAACCCAGTAATGATTTCCAGTGGCTAAACTCAAATCAATGTAGTTTTTTTAAACATTACTGTTTTCCTCTTTTTTTTTCTTGCCTAATTGTTTTAATGGTATCGGGAGAATTAGCTCCTCTGTTTTTAATTTAGTGTAAAGTCTTGCATTTCTACTGTGCTTATTTAAAATAATGAGTATGAGTTCCATTAAAGTCCAGATGTCTCAATTTATAGTATAATCATGTTCTTTCCTAGAGATGCCCACATTCCTGTGTGCTCACTTCCTTGTTTATTTTTACATGTTGCTTTTGGGCATAAACTCAATGTATTTCTTTTGTCCTATTTCACCTCCACCACTCCTGTTAAAATTTTTTGTTTGGATAAGAATCTCTTGAAAATATGTAGAAATGACAATACATCTTTCCTTAAAGCCCGGTAAAATTGACTACAAAGTTGTATAGACAAGGGTGCATGGTCAAGAGGTTCTCAGCTGCCATCAGCTTTCACCTTACAGTTACACGTTTAGAGTACAACTGCTTGTGGCTGCTGAGGGAGACTTGGTAAAGTTCTCATTTATTTGCCTACTAATTTTGTTCTCATCTGTAAAGTCTAATGTACAGTAACAATACTTAGTGCAAGGAGCGTGTCCTAAAGCGTGTACTGAAAACCATGACTGCAGTGCAGATCTTCCCTCGGAACATGCATGCTCTTCTCCAGTGCGTTGTGCAGTGTGTAGTGCACTAAATACATGTGTGTGTAATTTTCTGTGTAGTTTTGGTGTGGTATAATTAACAATGTTACAATTGAACCGGTTGTGATTTGGGGGAACGTGCTGCTTATTGTAGTTTGTACAGTGTTGTAAATTTTTTACCTGTGTTCCAACATTATGATGTAGTTTTATTAGGTGAGTATTTGCTTTTCGTCTCCGCTCAGGTATTAACGCATAGCAATTTTTGGTGCTTTGTTTTTAGTTTGTCATAACCTGGTGTTCTGAATGTCCAAAAATAAATTTGGTGAATAAGCACATTTGGCACAAAGATTTCTTACTGCGCAAAAGAAAGCTTTAAACATGGCTTCTTTACAAGTCTGGCACCTTAGCAAATAGAGTACCTGTTAAGAACAGGATGCAAGTGCGACACACACAGCTGAGTCCTAGAAACAGGAAAAGCTGACATTTTGCAACTTGGGATGTTGTAATTTTTCACATACATTTCTGTGGACACTTTGTGGTTCACAGTCTACTTTCAGGAATTGTACATGTTTCTCCTAGAGACTGTGCTTTTCCTCTGTCCATTACTAACTAGATATAATCCTAGGTGTAAGAAGAATGAGAAGGAATTAGACATCGTATGCAGATTTATAGGTCACTCTGTAGCTAATCAGTTGGCTTTTGAGAGTAAAAGAATCAGTTGGCTTTTGAGAGTAAATGCCCAGAAGTAATTCTTAAGTTGGTAGACATTGCCTTAGTCAGTAAAATTAACTTCTGAGGGAGTCTAGAAGCAACCAGGGAGATTTAGAATTCCAAATTGCCAAAGGACACTAAATAGAGAATTTAACATAAACCCAAACCCTTATGTAACTGAATAGAAGGAGTCAAATTAGGTAAGTTATTTCTCAAGGGGTGGGGCATGTTTCTTGTATTTTTAACCATCATCCCTAAATACATAAGTAAACATGCATTATCTGTCTATACAAATATTGTGTATATTATTACACAGACCAAAAAAGGTCTGGTTTTTGAGAATGAGAGTCAGAAGGTGAGGAGATTATTCAGTTGGTGAGGTGCCTGCCTTGCAAGTGTGGAGACCTGAGTTTGGGTGTGTGTGTGTGTGTGTGTGTGTGTCTGGGGGTAGTCTTACTGTGTAGCCCTGGCTGGCCTAGAAGTCACAGAGATTTGCCTACCTCTGCTTTGTTAATGCTGTGGTTAAAGATGTGAACCACCATACTGACAAAATAAACTTTCTAAAAAATTGCATAATAAAATAAAAACAATGTGGAAAACAGTTGAGGAAGACACTGGTCATTAACTTCTGATCTGTACTCTGGTGTAGGTATGCGTGCATGTACCCAAAATATTAGGACACTAGTAATATCAATTCATTTTTCAAATGTTAATTCTTTTTAGTGGTGAGAGATGATACAATCTTATTGTTTTTATTCTAGTCCAGCTGACAAAGGAGTAGATGTGGATTTATATTGTTTGTGCAGGTATTACTATCATTTTCAACTTGTGCTTCTTGGATGGAGTATTTTGAAGGTGCCTCAATCTATAATAGTAATGTTAATTCAAACCAAGTGTAGTGGATATTTAGTAATGTAGTTAGTTCATGAATGCCTTAACCATCCCATATAAACTACAATGCCGCTTTCATTACATGCTTCAATTCTTAAAGTGGATAAGCACATGAGCAAACTAGTGGAGTCCCCTGCTACCTTCTTTATACTTCAGAACTGTCCTTCTCCCAGAGTCCCCCATGCACTGTTCAGCCAACTGTGATACCAGTGAATGTAAAAGAGCATAAATATCCATCTATGTAAAAATATTATTAACCCACCAGGTGTATGATGGTCCATTTCTGTAAGTTCCAGGCCAGCTTGGTCTGTGTTGCCAGTTCTACAACACTCAGAGCAACATAAACTCTGTCTCAAAACAACAAGTAATAACTTGATTTTTTTAGATTAAAACTGAAAATGATTTTTATCCTGTATCCTAATATATTGTCTAGTGTACAACACTTAGATTGTATCCACCCCCCATTTGGATAAAATTTAATTCTTTGAAGTGGTCTCTCCCTTATCTTAGTCACTGTTCTATTGCTGTGAAGAGACACCATGACCAAGGCAACTCATACAAAAGAAAGCATTCAATTGGAGGTTTGCCTGCACTTGTAGAGAGTCCATGATCATCGTGTTTGGAAGCAGACAGATATAGTACTGGAGCAATAACAGAGTCTTACCTCTGCAGGCAATAGACAGAGAGACCGGGCCTAGCATGGGCTTTTGAAACCTCAAAGCCAATCCCCAGAGACATAGCTCCTGCAATAAGCCCACATGTCCCAATCATTTCCAAGCCATTTCATTAACTGGGGACCAAACATTCAAATATATAAGTTTGTGCAGGCCACCACATTTTACTCTTTGACCACCATAGGCTTGTGGCCATATCGTAATGCAAAATGCATTCAGTCCAACTCCAAAAGTCCCCAAAGTCTTTCAGCTCAAAGACTTTAAAAAAAGTTCAAAGTCTCTTCTGAGACTTAACTATAACCTCCCACAAAATAAAAATACACAAAATATACATTACCATTCCAAAAGGGAGGCAAGAGTACATAGTGAGGAAATGCTGGACCAAAGCAAGATTGAAACCAAGCAGGGCAAACTACAAATCCTTTAGCTTCATATCTGATTTTAAAGGGCTTATTAAATGGCTCCTCCCTTCTAGCTTTGTTGACTGTAACACATTTCTCTCTCTTGGACTGGTTCCACTCTTGTCTGCAGCTGTCCCTGGCAGGGAACCCATAGCTCTGGCATCTCCAACAACTTGGGGTCTCCAACACAATCCAGGCTTCACTTTTACAGCTTCAGGCTTCCAGACAAAGACTTGGCTTCCAAACTGCTAGCCTCTGTGATTTTCCTTAACCATGGAGGAAGATTCCATAACTCCTTTCCTGTATCCTTCTTGACCCTAAACCCAGAACCACATGGCTGGAACTGCTAGGTTCTGCTTCTTGCTAGGGCTGGAACCTAGCCTCCTCCTTGAATGACATTTGCATAAACATTCTGTTGTTGTTCAGGCCTAGGAAGTATCTCAGAACTTTTTCTTTCACAGGCTGCAGGATTAGCTGGGTGGGATCTTGCCCTGAAGTTACCATCCCGTTTATTCCATTTAGCACAAGGCTTTTCTTTAGACTTTTCCTTGAGCACAAGACTTGGCAACAACATTGCATTTCCTTTTCTCCTCAAACTGTGCATTTTGTATTTCTCTCCCCTCACCACTTAACACCTTTTCATTGTAGATCTGCCTAAGAGTGACATGTGACACAGTCAAAAGTAGACTGTCTTGAAATTTTCTCTGCCAGTGATATTACTCCAAAACTCTTCAATTTAACCACTAGCAGATTTTTCACATTAGGACAAAAAAGTAGCCATGTTCTTTGCTATAATATCACAAAAATGGTCTCTAATCCATAGTATCACAAGGATGCTCTCTAATATTCTCCTCTGAAACCTTTTGAGCTGGGTGTCCTCCATAGTTTACATTGCTCTTAGCACCACTGTCTTCCATGCTCCTACTAGAATAGCCCATTAGCTCCACTGGAAGCATTCAACCGCTTTTCTAGTCAAAAGTTCAGTCTTCCCTATTTCTCTAACAAATTGCTAGGCCTGTCACAGCAATATCCTACTCTTGGTACCAATTTGCCTTACCATGACCAAGACAAGTCTTATAAAACAAACATTACAGTTTCAGAGGATTAATCAATGATCATCCTGGTGGGAGGCAGACAGGTATGACACTGGCCTAAGAGCTTCACATCCTGATCCAGCAGGCAGAGAGAGTGTGAGAATGGGCCTGGCATGGGCTTTTGAAACCTCAAAGCCCATTCCCAGTGATAAACCACCTTCAACAAGGCCACACTTCCGAACTCTTCCCAAACAGTTTCACTAACTGGGGACCTAACATTAAAATATATGAGCTTATGGGAGTCATTCTCATTCAAGCCACCCTACCCCTCCTAGTCTTATTGAAGTATAAATGCATACCTGTTTGGGGGGGCAGGGATCTGTCTCAGTGGTAGAACATTTGCTTAGTATACTTTAAAGGCCCAGACTTCAATCACCAGCACTACAAAAAAAAAATGTTCGGTGTACATTATTGGTACATATATTCACCGTGAAATGATTACATAAGCCCTGCTTAGTATACTTTAAAGGCCCAGACTTCAATCACCAGCACTACAAAAAGAAAAAAAAATGTTCGGTGTACAATATTGGTACATATATTCACCGTGAAATGATTACATAAGCCAATTAACATATCCATCATCTTTCATACTTAGCGCTCACATACGTGGTGTGTGTGTGTGTGTGTGTGTGTGTGTGTGTGTGTAGAATATTATACTCCTACTGACAGTAAGAGCTCCTTTTTTAGTATCTTTCCCAGCATCTGTTATGTGTTTTTTGTCTTGATAACCATTTCAACTGGGATAAGATAGAATCACAAAGTAGTTTTGATTTGCCTTTCCCTGATAGCCAAGGACACTGAACTCTTTTTTTTTTTTTTTTTTCTTTTGTAGATCTCTGGCCATTTCCCTAGTGCCAGGTTTCACTCTCTTTTTTATTTTAATTAGAAAGAAAATTATTTCACATATCAATCACAGGTCCCTTTCAGTCCCCTCCTCCCCTGCCCCCCAAACTAACACCCTACCTATCCATACCCTTTCTGCTCCCAAGGGAGGGTGAGGCCTTCCATATGCGGTCTTCAAAGTCTGTCTTATTCTTTGG